TATAATAGTTTATTTGACTTTTATTTTGGTTCTAAATATAAGATCTTAATCTACTTTATCTCTCATATTTATCTGTTTTTCTTCAAGGTAGTCATTATAATAATGGTAGCTCTAGCCAACACACTTTATTAACAAGATATTTTAGGAAAGACAACACCTATTTATTACAAATAACTAACTTAATTAGTTTTTTTAGTTTACTCAATTTAGTCAATTAGTTCTTATATTAAGGATCGGAAGTACTCCTTAATTGACTATTTATTAAGGAAGTAAGTTAGTTTTATTTATTAAATGTTGTCATCCTATTTGCTAATTAAGTATATATTATTATTAGTATCCTATAATTAGTAAGTATGTCTTATAAGGACATATTTATTTATTTTTCTCAACATAGTCCTTGTAATAGTTACAAATATTAAATGTTGCATCAAATAGTTGTTATAATTAATGCATTAAATTTGATTAGTAAGAGTATTTTAGAGAAGGTAACACCTATTTTTTAAAAATAACTAACTAAATTAATTATTTTAATCTACTTAAATTAGTCAGCTAACCTTTATATTAAAGACGTAATAATTAACTGCAATGCCCGCTCTTCTCTTTATTTTGTCCAATGCAACGGGTTTATTCAAGTTAAGTATCCGGCCGGATTCATCACCATCCTATATTATGCAATTTTAGCACCCGATTTTTGGTTAAAATTAATTATAATGAAAAACTGGGGAGAAAAAACATATCGCCCGTTGAATTGAACAAACATGTACGGTGATGAGAAACCTTTAGTTTCATTTCTTAACTATTGCAGAATGCCCAAGAAAAGGGCTCTTACAAACAAAATAGCCACTAATTACGGCGCGGCTCATTATTCTGCATGCACGTTGTTTCGGGCATTATAGTACAGCAACTTGATCAATTATTTTATAGCACACCTCAGTATCATAGAAACATTACCATTTAGTCTAGGGAGAATTACAATCAAGTCCTGAATAAGAGAAATAACTGCTAAAAGGTCTAATAACAACCTGAACAACTTGTAATGACAAATTCGAGAATAGAGAATAACAACTTTTGAGACTTGTTTTCTAATTTCTTTTCTTGCATGGGACCTCATTTTAATTCTCCTTTTAGTCTAATCTTATTTTAGTTAAATTAATTAAAATAAAAAGATTTACTATTTAATATTATTAAATTAAATTTGAGTGATATCAAACCTAAATGTATGACTTTTTTCAATCAAAAGATTTAAACTTCAAATGCACCTCACAAGTATTTGATTAACTTCCATTCAATTCAACTGATGCCAGTAACAATCTTTCATTTCACAAACATGTATTGTTATTAAAATATTACAAAAAATTAACGAAATGTGAAAGAAGAGGAAGAACATAAAGTCACAAGTGAGAGTGTAAAAGTAACTTTATGAGCCTTTGATTTTTCTACATTGGGGAGAGTCTCATGAAATGACTAAACTAATCATATCATCAAAACCAACAAATTATAAACTCTTATTTCTTTTAATTTCCTTGGCCCCTCCCTTGGTACTTGATGTTTGGCTTTAGCTTTTTCGAGCTGCTTGAGTTGACTATGCAAATTAAAATAGTTTTCCTCCAAAATTAAATTAAATATAACACGAGCTGTTTCTTCTTTCCATGAAAGGGTCATATTTTAAATATCATTAATTAATGATCATACACAACTTGATATTTTTCTTTAATTTCTTTGTTGCCTTTTTCTCATCTGCTTAGTTATTTACAATTTTTGACGTTCAAAGTTTAAAATTATTCCCAAATTTATATTGAAATCAGATCATCAAGATGTTTAAATTAAAGAAAATGACACTTGACATTCACAATTCATAAACAATCTTGAGATATGCATGCTTAACCAGCTTTTCCTCCTCGTACATAAAAATACTCCGATTGAGTTGTCTCTCGGACCTAATATTTAATTAGCGCTTAATTAGATTCTTAATCATCATATTATTAACACTCTCTCACTTACTTCACACACTCTCTATTTCACCATTTTTTTCTTCTTCTTTGAGTTCGAGACTGTTAGGCTATAGTAGTACTGTCTGTGTGTGTGTGTGAGTGAAGTAGTGAAGTATTACTTCACACACACACACACATTTTGAATTTTTCCTAATTATTGTTAATATTTTTTTAAAAATCGATTAATTAGAATATCATTAGGGAAAAAAAAGGAGAAAATTGACCAATGAATCATATGAAGCCTGCCTAAAATCTGGCTGCATCTCTCATGGTTTATTAAAATGAATTGATCTCTCATATGTCAGACCCTTATCTCTAGCTTTCATCGTGATAATGATCTTATCCTATCCCAAAGTTAGTTTTTACTTTTTAGCTCGAACCTGGTATTTTTTTTTTGTCGAATAAATTATATAAACTAATCATGAAATCTGCATAATTACTCCCAACAGTAATTAAACTTTTTCGAGGACTCTATAAATCAGCATATTGGTAATAAGTTAAGTAGTAGCAGTCATTATTTCTGTTAAGAAATTAACATGTAGCTAACCTTTATTTTGTTATTATTTTTTTTCATCAACGACAATCCATGGACTCGATCACATGTTAAAAATCCAAAATTCTGTGATCTCTCTGGAAGCTCCAATTCACGGATCCTAAGATTCCTGCTTTGGTTCTCCTTATTTTAGAACAAAGAAACAAGGATCTATATATATAATACGTAGCAATTTGAATTATACATTCTTGCTGAGTCGAGTGGATGAATTTCACTTTCCAGGGAACCAAACAAGGGGTTTGAATTTGCCTTTACGTAAAGCATTTTGTTTTCCACAGAAAACAACAAAAGGAGTGAAAGGGAAAGAAGTAGAAAGAAGGCCAAATACAAAGCAGCGAAACAAAACCAGAATTAAAGGGTCTCACAAAGCAATTATTTCCCCACTGCCTCGCTGACGTCGGCTCCTCGTCAGCACGACAAAGGCCCTCAGCGTCTCCGCCACGTGCCTCGTCTTCCGTCGGATTCGGTCAAATGCCGGTGCCTCTATCGCCACGCGTGCCCCTTATATTCCCAAATACATCCCTCTTCTAGTAGCAATATTTGAATCATTGACCTCTCATCCCTCTCATTCATTTATCGCTCCTCCTCCTTCACGCGCCACGCTCCCCGCCTGTTAACACGCTCTGCTTTAATGATTTTTAATATAAGAGTTGGTTTTACTTTTATCTTAATTTTAAATATAAGACTTGAATTTATTTTATTTATTATATTTATCTATTTTTGGAGGTAATCTTTATAATAATGATAGTTTTAATTAATACACTTGATTAGTAAAGATATTTTAAAAAATACAATATCTATTTATTACAAATAACTAATTTAACTATTTTTTTTATCTACTGATTAAATTAGCCAACTAGCACTAGAGGCAGTACTATTTATGATGGCACGATAAAAAAAAAAAAGAAGAAGGAAGGAAAACACTGTATTTATGAATTATATTTATGAGTATGCGTGTGTTTTCCCTCCTTTTTCATAATAAAAAAGATTTAAATGAATAGGATTCTGAAACTTGGTAAGGTGAGAACAAATTTCACAACTTAGAGAGTATTTATGGTAGAAGCTTATTTATTTAATACTTAGAGATCCATCATCAATAGTGAGATTTGAATGTATGAAATATGTATAAAAATTGTAATGTTGTAATAATATTAAATTTAAATATTATAAAATCATTATTTCATTAAAAATTATATGCTTTGTTAATTTTTAATTAGTATATAAAATTATAATATTTTCTTGTAATAAGCAGTGCAGAAGCTTTGCATTATTGGAGAGTGTTCATTCGTGGAAGGAACAAGAGGGAAGGTTTAAATGTGCCAGTAATTAACGGGGGAGAGAGAGTCAACCCTAGTGCTTTCTTTGACTCTTCTTTTTCCCAATCAACATTATAAGATTACTAGAAAACTTGTACCGATGGCTCATGATTTTGGTTGGCCACTTTACTCATGAAAAGTTGTAGAGCGCATCTTGTAATAATATTCTGATTTATTTCTTCAATACATAAAAGTAGAGTTCATATCTCCTCTACAATAGACAGATTTTGGCCAAACCATTAGAAGTTGAGAAACTAATAAATAAGGTGTGGTGTGTATACACCTTAGAAGACTCTGCTTGGACTGAGCAGAAACGTTCAAGATAATTAAAAAAATGTTATGGGTGAGTTTTCGGGTATCCAAAGAACAAACTAAGATTAAATTATATCTTCAGAAATATAATATGAAGAACGGTAATATTTTTTTTTTAATATATACATAGAGGATACTAGTGTCGGTGCTCATCACTTTGATGAGCACCATAAGCTCATCAAATCTGGATTGTTTATATCTTATTTGGATAGTCCAGATTTAAAATCTTTAATTAATTATTTCTAAATGAAAAAAACTATTTTTTAAAAGAATAATAGTTAAGAAATTATCTTTATTTTAAATTTTATACATATTAAAATAATTATTTTAAATAAATAAAAATAAAAAAGAAATTAAATCTGGACTTTCAAAATGAGACACAGATGGTTCAGATTTGATGAGCTTGGGGTGCTCAAAATGATGAGCACCGAAACTGGTTAGACACATATAGAGAGAGGGGGGATAAGATATATATATATATATATTTGTGTGTGTGTGTGTGTGTTGTTGGGTTGTGACGAATGGGATTGATAATGGTTTGGCATTGAATTGTTGTGTTGTCTTTTTTTTAAAGAAGAGAGAAAACAATTAAAAAGGGCAGCAGAGAGGGGGTCTCCCCACCTCCCTAACTAATATTGATCAGTCTCCTTAATGGAAGTAGCATGGACTGAAAATGTTAGCGTCTCATAAAGAATGCTCTTTTTTGGGTTTGGGATTGGAAGGTATGTCAACCTCCTTTTTTAAAAAGTGACCCTATCACCTCTCCATCCATTCAAACCCAATGACTTTTCTTTTTATATACATATAAATAATACTCCCCAAGTGCAAGCGATTAAAAGTCCCTGAACTAGATAAGAAGACTACCCCCTAGGCTCTCTTGTACTCTCTCACTCTTCTCCTTCCTCCTTCATCTTCTTCATGTCTGATGAACCTAGTAAGGATCTTTATTACCGGGATCTTTACTTAGGCCATAATAATCAGCAGTCCACAGGTGGATCTGCCATGTTCTGTGAGAAGAACTTGTCTTGCTTTAATATTCCTGTCTCTTCATCATCAGGTTTTGATGATCCTCCGTACATGACCTTCACTGAATGCCTGCAAGGAGGCCTAGACTACAATTCTCTTGCTACTTCCTTTGGCTTGTCTCCTTCCTCCTCCGAGGTTTTCTCTTCTGTTGAAGGCAGTAATATTATTAATCAGAAGCCATCATCAGAAGCTCCTGGAGATTTAGGTGGTGGGAGTGAAACGCCGGTGACCCAGAATTCTTCCGTCTCTAATTCATCTTCTTCTGAAGCCGGAGCTGAAGAAGAAGACTCAGGGAAGAGCAAGAAAGATAGTGATGATCAGGTCAAAGCATCAGAAGAAGAAGGATCTAGCAAGAAAGGGCAAGTATCTCTTTTCCTTTTCCTCTCTTGTCCTAAATCTTAACCTGATGAAACCTGTGTGGCGCATCTTATTGACTTTGTAGCTAGCTAGCTAGGCTTAAATTAATGATAGTGCAACTTACAGGAACAAAGGCAGGAAGAAAGGAGAGAAGAAGCAGAAGGAGCCCAGGTTTGCGTTCATGACCAAGAGCGATGTGGATCACCTTGAAGATGGTTATAGATGGAGAAAATATGGACAGAAAGCAGTCAAGAATAGCCCTTACCCAAGGTATATTTTACACATATATACTTACATTCTTCAATTAATTTATTTGCACCATATCTGATATCTATCTCACACACCCAGTCAGAGAAACATATTTAACCACTTCAGAATCGAAACCTGCTCATTAATAACTTTACCCATCTATCTAACATTACCGAATCTGAGGAAAATAAAGAGAAAGAAAAAGGAAACAGCCTGTGACTGTGAGATTCAATTGAAAAGTTCCTCCTCCTTCTTCTTCATATCCGCTAGCTCTCTTAGTTATGTCGAGTATAAAGGTTATTATCTTTTGATGATGATGAGAAGATACTGTGGAAAAATCTGACGAATATAAATGGGATTATATCGCAGAAGCTACTACAGGTGCACGACGCAGAAGTGCACAGTGAAGAAACGCGTGGAGAGGTCATATCAGGACCCAACCACTGTGATAACAACGTATGAGGGTCAGCACAACCATCCGGTCCCCACATCGCTGAGAGGAAATGCGGCCGCAATGTTCACACCTTCATCTCTCTTAACACCACACACTCCGTCATCACTTGCCGCCGCAGCTGCAGCAGCCGCCGCTTCCCACCATGATTTCTTCCTTCACATGCCCCACCATCACTCGTCAGCTGCCCCTTCCAACGTTTATTATAACAACAACAACAGTAATATTATCCACAGTACCAATGCTTCTTCTTCTTCTCTTCTTCATCAGCAGCAACTTCCTCCTTATGACTACGGCCTCCTCCAGGACATTCTTCCTTCCATGTTCCTCAAACAAGATCATCCCTAGTTATATATAATCCATTATAAGCACCATCATCGACTACTGATCTTTTATTGTAAATATAGGTATCTTATACATCTAGCTATATAATATATATGTAGTTTTTATATCTACCTATATATTATTAGATATATCTGATTAAGTTCTAACTTAGTCCGACTTCAGATATGCTTTCCTTCTTCCGAGGTAAGAAAGTGATCATATGGAGGGATGAGACCGAGGTACTGGTACGCTTAGAAGAGCTATATATATTGTATGAGAAGAAGCATGCAGTCCCGTGTAGGATCTGCATTTATATATGTTTCTATATCTGAAGAGCTAGCTTAATTAACGTCATTTTGATTGAATTTTTTTTTTTGGTTATTGATTATCAATGTAGGAACATACTAAACGCTTTGCCCCATCTCCATTTTGTTAGCTTTCATCTTATATATTTCGTTTTAATTTTGTTCTTGACCAGCTGGAATATAATGCACTTCGATTCTAGCTATTGCATCAATTCATAGCTATGAATTTATTCTGAGGAAAGAGCAAGACAGTAATTTCTATATATATAGAAGAACCTGTTGTTCGGTCAGATTTTGTTTATTATTCTAAATCATTATGCGACATGGATGGAATTTAGGGTTATATTGATTTAAAACGTGGACGAAATGACCTATTATGTGTATGAATAATAGTTGTAGAGGAGATATATTTGACCTTGGAAATATTGACACTACTTGTTCCCCAACTAGACATATTATATATCATTGACAAAGTAAAACAAAGCTGCGCAGTTTTAATTAGGTCTGAGGAAGAGTCTTTGTTATTTGGATTTCGAATCTGATCGTATCCTGGTATTAAGGTAAACTTTTGTATTAAAAATCCCGAGCCATGTGGTTTATCATTAATTAATAAGAAATGTTTGTCAAGGAACAACAATTAATATCATTCGATTTATTAGCCCAAAGTGATGAATGACTAATCATAGTCAACTGACGTAGATTGAACAACTTTGGGAGAGGATCACGTGAAATAGTGTTGTAATGGTCGACGCTTCTCTCTATAAGATATTGCAGTTTTGTAGCTTAGCATGAGAGGATCGATCAAACGACAATGAATCAATATATTTTCGTCGACGATTCATAGATTTTTTTTTTTAAAAAAAGGTTTTAGTTTTATTATTGACTAAATTAGTTAACTACTCCAAAACTGGCTGTTTGATTAACAGTAGGGCTCCTCTAGATTATCAGCAGTCCTTTAATCTTGGAATAACTTATTTTCCAATACCTCACAAAGTGTATTATCACACACTCTATGCTCCCGTTTGGTACGAACAATTGAGATTGAGAAGTGAGAATTGTGATTAAACTAGGAAAAAGCTATTAAAAAAATATTTAGCATGAATAATTAATTGTTAGATGGGATTTGGCAAATCCATTGAAATAGGATTGAAAAATACCACTTCTCCCTGTGGTATTCCTCAATTTCATCTATATAGGTTTGTCCAATCCCATGTAATAAGTAACCTTTCATGTTAAACACTTTTTAATAGATTTTCTTTTTTAATTCCAATCGCAATCTTTGTTCTTTATTTTCAATGTTTCTTATGAAACGGGACTTATAAGTAATAAAAAAAAAACCGTGTCAAATAATATAGAATAATCTTTCAGACTAACTTGTGAGGCCAAAAAAAAACTCAACTAAACTTTGGATTCCGCCTCATATATATTAAAATAAAGCTTGTTCAAACACGAAAAACCCAACGAATTTCCTTTCTCGCTCGTTATGTTTCTTTTTCCTGTTCTAATTTTATGTATCGTGAATCTGAAGGCTTGGCACGCACTATTATTAAATTCAATAACAATCTGATCAAGACGTTCAAATCACAAGCTATTCGCAAATTACAACGCAAGAGATCGAAGTCCAGTTTTGGAAAGCCAAACAATTTGCTTACGTGTTTTCCTTTCATTTTAAAAGATGCCTCCCTCTGCCAACATGTGAAAATTCAACCATATGATGGATAATAAATGAAGCAAGATTAGGTCCTAACTAACGATAGATTATGAATAATTGCGTACTTAATTAAAATTGACGAAATGTATCACTGTAAGCACTCATAAATACTGTTTGCTAGTCATGCATCATATATATATATATATATGTATGTATGTATATGTATGCATGCATGCATTCCTTGGATTACATAAGCACAAATATTTTCGTATGATATAAAGTGATTGTCTGATGGAATTGACATTAATTTGACAGGACACCAAATTAATAATTTTGCTTCAATTGATTGATTAATTGGAACCTTTCCAATTTACTGCCCGAGACGATCAATGCTAATTGATGAAACTTTAGGTAATTAGTTGTAATTGCTGGTCCACTTAATTTAATTTAATTATTAATATGACATGGTTAATTATTGATCAAACAAATGTATATCCTTATGTGTACCCTATTCAAACTGGTTTGAATCTAAGTTAAGTCAACTCCTTAACGCACCTAGGTTATTAATGAATATATATGGTTTAGGTAAGAAGTTGTTCAAATTGTAACTCATCGTGTTCCCTAGGATTTGATATATTCTAGTTGGATAAATGGCCTCCACGTATCAAACATTATTCTCGTTCATTTTCATCATATCTAATGGGGTTCCGTGCCATTCATTATCATATATGGGTAGCATTTTTTTAGGGTTCGTTCTTGGTATGAAGAAATGATAATGGAATTTTTTTAATACATATAACTAAATGATTTACTTTTACTTAGTTCAACAATTATATAATATGGCTTCTCATGATTTTGGGAATGAGACTTTCTGTAGAATTTGGAAGCAATTTCATTATTCCCGATTAAAATCTCGAGAACTTGTAATTTCCAGATGTTATATATTAATTTTTGAAAATATTTTTGCAATTAGATCTCCTGAATCTAAACTAATGATTTTTATGTCATTAGGATTGAAAATTAATTTTTTTTAAAAAAATAAATTTAGCTTTTGAGAAATAATTTTTTTTTTTTTGAGATGAGAAATGAGATATTAAATGGACAAGACATGAGTAAATTTCGAGATGGAACGTTATTTTTATAGGAAATATAATATATTTCTTTAGGAAGTAATTTTTTTCATATAACAAGCTAGGTATGAGTAGTTAGAATCAAACAACCCATAAGATCCTTCTTTTTTTTTTTTGTTATTACTACTTCATTATTGAATTGCCTAGAATTTCTCCATTGTAACGCATTGGAAGGTTTAATTTTTCTTATAAAAAAGAATATACCTAAATTGAAAAATGAAAAAAAGAAACAACGATAATATAGCTGATGCACTTAATTTTATTTTCATAATACATAATTAATTTTTGCAAGATGGGTTATAAGTAAGTTGACTATTTTAACTTGCATACATAGTTAATATTCAAGTTTTAAATTAAAATCACAGTCCATTTAACGTGACTATATGAGAATCAATTTAGTTACCACCAGTCAAATTAATTCGCGTTTAAGTGTTCATCTTAATTTTAAAGCCTCTCATCTATTACTATTCCATCAACTACAAGATTTCGATGTGCCCGGATCTACATTAATAAATTAACTTTAACAGGAATGAATATAAAAATAATCCAGTGGGGGTTATAATATAAAAATACCATATTATCACCAAATAATAAAATGATATATCCTCATGCATGTGAGAGACCACTTGGTAATCGATCCCCATTAAGAATTCGGCTTTAATTTGAAACCTGTCCCAAAATCAAAAGGGTCTAACAATAATTAGTATATATATACATTTATATTATATTGTATATTGTAACAACTTTGCTTTGACACGTAACCTAGGAATATAATACTCACAAGCTATGTGGTGTCTGTTCAGACACAGGCCATCCTATAAACAGTGTGTGTGTATATATATATATATATAGAGGGGGGTGTGAGGGTGAAGGAGAAAGATGATTATGACCCACAGTTAAAAGATCTCATGGAATGTATTTTCTTTTTCTCTATGTTCCATCTTACGAAACCTGCCAACAAAATATTTATACCAATGTAAATGTCATTTTTTTAATTAGTTTTGATTGACTTGATATTGATTAATTAGTTGTTCTTTTCTCTTAATTATGTATGAAGAATATTGGAGAAATAAGCCCAAAATTATTTGATGAGCAGTTAAATCCAGGTGTCTAGAAATAACCAGAAAATGACTCAATTGTGTGTGTGTGTAAAAATGGTACATGGTTAAAAAATTACAAAAATAAAAGGGAAATTAAAAAAATAAGAACTCGTATCATTTGAAAAATAATTAAAAAAATGTAAAGTATTTATATGGTGACAATTAATGGCAGCCAGCTACCACGAAAGGAGAATATAATAACTTGAGGAAACGAAAATGGTGGCATTGATGCAGCTCGTCCGTATAAGTGATGGGGACCGATAGTGATTGTGATAATGGTGAGAAATTTATTAGCTCATAAACTTTACTTCTTAATATTCTTCCTGTAATTAATATAATACTTATTTAATTAATTTGATTAAATTAAAAGATTTAGGTGAGTTGGTTAATTATAATAAATATGTCATGATTTTCCTAAAATACCTTAATCATCTTCATTATATCCTTTCTCCATCTCATGCTTGATTATGATTTAGGGAGTATCCATAAGAGTGATTAAAAAAAATTGATAAATATAAGAAATAAAACTTATATTTAAGATCAAAATTAACTCCGCAATTAGGTCCTATATTAAATACTGGAAGAATATAAATTATTATTAATCTGTTTGTGATTTAAAAATTTAACATAATAATTATAAAAATTTTGAGCTAAATTTTATCCACAACTGATATTTTATATTAACGAGTAACTTTTTTCTTTTAAATATTAATGGCATATAGATATATATGTATATATAAATTTTACGCATTTAAATCACTCATAAACAATGAAAACGAAATGATGTGTGTGTTTTTATGGCGTGAAACTTTCTTCGAATAATGTCAATTGCCACTGCTGTCCAATCCTCAATTGACTCTTGATAGATCTGAACAGTTTATAATTTTTTTTAATTTTAATAAATGATAAAATATTTGTGAATTTTCACCAAATAAACCATCTATTTCAAAAAGATAAAGTAAGAAAGGAGATGCATTATTTATGACTCATTATTAAATTTTCTTAGAATATATATGGATTAAAATAGAATGTTAAAAAATATAAATAAATTACCAATATCAAATTTAAACAACTTCAATTAATTTTTTTTAATTTTAAAAATAACCCTCTCCCATTTCACTTCATATTTCAGTACCTGAGCGAAGGCATTATTATAGTTGCTTTTAATAGTTTAATTGACATCAAAATAATAGATAATAAATAAATATTTTGTCACCAATAAGTTGTTCAGGTGGCAGCACTATCTGGCATCTGCCAAGTTTTAATGAGATTTTGTTGTTGACAAGAACACATGAAATGCTTATCTTTATCTAAACCATCCAAATTAATTTTGGATAGTCTAGATTCAATTTAATTTTTTTATTTTAATAAATATAAAATTTTAAATAAAGATAATCTTATAATTAATTTTAAAAAATAAATTTATTATAAAAAATCACAAATCAAACATTTTAAATTTGGACCATTTATATTATATTTTAGGGTTAAAGTATATCTAATATTTAGAAGTATTTTTCATGTGCATCTAGAAACCAATTTCAGTACTCATCGTGCTAATGAGCATTATGATATTCATCAAATATTAACTATTCAAATTTAATATGGATGATGAGGATTTAATATTTAATATTTTTTATTTTTAAAAATATTTTTAATAAGTATATAATCCAAAATAAATATAATTTCTTAGCTGTGAGTTTTTTAAAAAATAATTTTTTATTTAAAAACTTACCAGTTGAAAACTTTAGATCTATATCATTAAAATAGTATTTGAATGGTTTAAATTTTACTATAATGATAAGTACTGAAACTAGTTTCTGTGTTGTGTTTAGCATTTTGAAGTATATTTTGGTACATAAATCTAGCATCTTTAAGTATTTTTTTAACTGCGTCTAATATTTAAAAATATTTTTTGATGCATCCAGTATTAAGACAAAAAAATACTTCTGAGTGCTGAATGCATCTAAAAAATACTAAATGCATTATAAAATATTTTGGAATATTAAATGCACTTAAAAAAATACTTGAAAGTGTTGAATGTACCGAAACTCTATATTTTAAATGGTTCAGATTTGATCATAGTAACGAGTATCATATGCCACTGTGATGGATATTGCATTTTCAAGCACGCCTAAAGCAGTTAAGCGAGAAAATGTAGTAGCAACGCCCACAATGATTCGAGATTAAGACCCAGCACAGCATTAACGGACTAAAACAAAAATCAGACTCAGCCTTAAGCCGCGAACTCCTTCAACTACTGTGCATTAGAGAGCGGGAGAGATAGACGTTCCTTCTGACATTTTCTCTCTGCCTGAAGCAGACTCTTCTTTCCTTTCAGATCCCTCCCTCTGTCTCTTCCTCTCTACACAGGTTCATGTTGTTTGTATATTTGATCGTTCTCTGACACATCCTCCCAAAGCGGAAGCTTCAATTGCGCGGGTGATTTGTATTCTTCATTTCTGGCATCCTTCATATTGTCTGCTTCTGAACTTCAGAGTCCAATGCACGTGTTTCTCATTCATATCAATGGATTTTTGCAGTTTTGAGCCGGTTGCTGGGCATCGAGGATGGTGGTTCCCGGGCCAATCACTCCGGGTCAGGTGTGCGCTGTGGATGAATCCAAATTTGTAGTTGAAGTTTCGGTTGTTTGTAGTGTTTTGTGTGATAGTTCTAACCATGCAATGCTGGTGATATTACGATCTCTCTGCGTGTGCTTTCTGCATCTAATAGTTAACTACTAGTGGGCTTATAGTTGGCCCAATAATAGTGGGTTTGTCAGATAGGAGCTATTAGATTTTGAGCAGTGGGGCATAAAAATGACACCCGATCCAATAAGAGTTGGGTCTAGTAGAATGGTTAGTCTCTCACAAGACGGAAAACCAAATTTCAAATCTCTATTAGGAAAGATACTTTACATTTAGTGCTCGATAATGCCTCGAATAGGATTATTTCTAATAGGAGGATAAGTTTTTTTTAAGTAAGTCAAGATAGAATTCATCTTACATATTAATTTTATTTATGATAAATCACTTCTAAAACTATAATTTGGTTTCTATCTAAACATCTCCTGAATTGAATGGAATGGGAGTAAAATTATGGGTTTAATCAGACAAATTTTTATGCAGGTTAATCATGCATGAGTATATTGCCTTGGAATAGTACATGCAGAATATTCATCATGAATTCATGATCTCCATTTTGGAGATAGTACATGAGTGATCTCCGTTGTTTTTTTTCCCCCATCTAAATCTCCATTTTGGAGATAGTACATGAGTGATCTCCGTTGTTTTTTTTCCCCCATCTAATATTCATCAACATATTAACAAATGGGCGTTGTCGCCTTTGCATTTCACTGTAATTTTATTTTCATGCCACTCGTTTCAGTATAAAAATTCTAATGTATTCTTGCCTTCAGCTTTTCCCTGTACGAACAAAATTTTCCTATTCAGTGACGGAGCTCTGCTAACTGTGCTCCAGGTGTCTTTTGTGCTGGGTATTATTCCAGTTTTCGTCGCATGGATATTTTCAGAGTATTTGGAGTACAGAGAACATTGTCTCCTCCTAAAATAACTATGTTCAATAATGTTTCCATAACTCTGTTTCTTTTTTCATTTCTCTCTCCGGATGTTGCTATGATTATCTCCCTTCTTTTCAGAATTTTCCCTATGGGAATATATTTTTCAAGTATGGACAAGTACATTTTTAGGAAGTTGATTTGAAAGAATCTTGATTGTTTATTGCATCTTGAAAATTAAGTGTGTTTACGAACTATTAATTTAGGGTTAATTTGAGGACGGTTTATTCTACAATTGATCACTATGGTGTCATTCTACAGTCATTCAGATACCGGTCTTGATGAATTGGCCAAGGGTACAAAGGAAGATGATCAGGCTGTTTTGCTGGGAGCAGAGCTTGCCAGACCAGCATCTGCAAAATTCCAAGCTTCATCCATCAAATTGAATATCATTAGGTTTTATTCTACTAAACGCAATGTCATGCTTGATTATACCCTTGAGTTTTATCCATTTTTCTCATAAAGAAGTTCCTTATTTAATTGACTTGTTTAGGTTTTTTGTTATGGATGACTCTTTCTTGCTGGAAAATCGAGCAACTTTGAGGGCAGTGTAAGTTTCTTTTGAGGAGGATCATTCTACTACTTTTTGTTGAATGTATTCGATATTCACAACTCCATTGCATATAGGTCTGAATTCGGCTTGATTCTGCTTTATTTCTACCTATGTGACCGCACAAATTTACTGGGAGATTCTACAAAGGTACCCTTATCCTACTTTCAGTGTCCAAAATTTTGGCATTGACCTGCAATTGAAATATTATTACAATGTGAAAAGATTCCCATATGTGGAATTTCATCATCTATTAGCTACTTGGTTTTTAGTGGGTTCTTCGTAGTAATCGTTTGTTTCACGGTTTTCACTTTTATTGACAGTTTTTAATAATACGATTTTTGTCTGAAGTACATCTGTAGTTGTTGCCCCTTTGGAGATTTGTGTCTTTTAAATGATACCTTCCTTCTTCTACCACACTATTGTTATCTACTAAACTGGAAGCATTGTGCAAAGACTGCAGCAATTTGAACTTGTAAATACCTTGATTCTTATGTTTTACCTTTAGGTTTGTACACTATTCATGAGTTCATGCTCTGATACTCTTTTTCATATAACCATTAGTTATTTGAACTGTGCTTTCTCATTGGACATGGCGAGACATAGTGATAAACATGTATGACTTGGGAACAGAAGCATGCACCGGATCTAAGAATGTTTTTCTAAGTGACCAGTTACTTGCTGTATTTATATGATTCTTTTAATACTATTATCCGGCATCTGCTATATCTATACTTTGCTTGCTTGCATTTATGATAAATAATTTCATTTGCTTCTTTTTCCTTCGTTTCCCTCTGTTTTACAGAGTTACAGTCGAGATCTTTTTCTCTTCCTCTACCTCCTTCTGATTATAGTTTCAGCCATGACTTCTTTGAAGAAGCACAGCGACAAATCAGCATTTTCTGGAAGAAGCATATTTTACCTTAATAGGCATCAAACAGAGGAGTGGAAAGGATGGATGCAGGTTGGTGCCTTCATCAGGCCTATGTTTGACATTTCAGCTTGTTATCAACAGATACTAATTTCTTGTAAAGTTTATAATTTTAGTAATCATTACATCATTGTTATGGAGGGCGTTTTTTTTTTTAAAAAAAAATTTTTGAACATGATTTTTCTCATGTTTTGGGCACCTCATGGTATAGATAGTTGCAGATGCTTGAAAAAAGCTGTGAAACTATTGGGTGGTCGCTTTAAAAATTATGGTTTTCTGTGAATGAAATTAAGAAATTATGGTCATAAAAAAATTGTACATGGCTCAACCTCTTCCGGCTTGATGTGTATTCCTTCCAAAAATTTCTTCTTTATAATATTTTAATGCCTTTCAGGTGCATTCCGCATTTTTCATTCATGATATTTCTATTCTGTTTATTCAGGTCCTCTTTCTAATGTACCATTATTTTGCTGCAATGGAGATATACAATGCAATACGCGTTTTCATTGCTGCATATGTTTGGATGACTGGATTTGGCAACTTCTCCTATTACTATGTCCGAAAAGATTTTAGCCTTGCACGCTTTGCTCAGGTCACGTAAAAGTCTTAATTTTCGTTGTTATGTTTTTCCTTTTTCTACTTTCCACTTCTTCCTTACCCCTTTTTTATGAAACTAGATGATTCTAACTCATTAATCTGCTGTGCAGATGATGTGGCGGCTTAATTTTTTTGTGGCCTTTTGTTGTATTGTGCTTAGCAATGACTATATGCTCTATTATATATGTCCAATGCACACCCTTTTTACTTTGATGGTGTATGGAGCGCTGGTTGTTTTTAACAAGTATAATGAGAAAAGCTCAGTTATGGCTGCAAAGATTCTCACATGCTTTCTTGTGGTGATCTTGATTTGGGAAATTCCTGGAGTCTTTGACATTTTATGGAGTCCATTTGCTTTCTTTTTAGGTCAGTAAATCTATCATGCCTGGAGTCAATTCATTTTTAGTCTGAGTTTGGTTATGCCTTCCGCCACCTTTGTCAGCTAGTTGCATTTTTAGTGGGTTTAGATTTAGCATTTATTTTGCCTCTAAAATTGCAGGCCTCATCTTGTTGAATGTAATACTTGCCAAAAAGTTATGCCGTATACTTTTGTACCATCAATCCTCCCAGTCTTTGTGCGTATTTTAAAATATAACAGTGTGTTGTCAACTTTCAAGTTGATGTGTTATCTTATGATGGAGGCTTGCATACTTTTTAATAATTGCGTATTATGGTTATCTTTTTGTGGCAGGGTATACTGATCCTGCAAAACCTGATGTCCCTCCAATGCACGAATGGCATTTCAGATCTGGACTTGATCGCTACATCTGGATAATTGGAATGATCTATGCCTATTTCCATCCAACAGTAATCTCTTCTGCTAGTTTTTCTATTGAGTCTTGTTTTATGATGAAATTTCGTTCTTGTAACTAACAAATATTCTCCTCGATATTAGGTTGAGAAATGGATGGAAAAGTTGGAGGAATGTGAAACCAAGAGGAAAATCACAATCAAAACAATCATTGTTTCAGTTTCTTTATTAGTGAGTTTCACAACCAATGATAAGATCATTGTTTGCTCAAATTGTTGTTCTCTTTCAATTTTCTTATCTGGTTATATTTATATCTAAACCAAGGTGAATAATAAGAAGATCTCATTTTAATGTTTAACTTTTAGGTTGGATATTTATGGTATGAATATATATACAAGCTGGATAAGATAACATACAACAAGTTTCACCCCTACACCTCATGGATTCCGATTACGTGAGTATGCTTAGTTTTCATTTCCCTTTTGTAAATTTTTTGGTTTCTGTTCCGTTTATTTTTACAGGAACCACGTCGTAGAGGAAAATGAACAGCAGTTTCATTAGTAACTGCTTTTCTTTTTGTTTTTTCATTAGTAACTGCTTTTCTTTTGTTTTTCAGTGTTTACATATGCTTGCGGAATTTCACACAGCAGTTTCGCAGTTTCTCTTTGACCCTCTTTGCGTATGTGTTCTTTACTTTGTTGTTGAAGTTCTCTTCACGGTGGTTTTTCATGAGTTGATGCGTAAACTTATGTTCTTCTTAATTTACACCATTTGCTTACGTCATTAGGTGGCTGGGAAAGCTAACTTTGGAGACTTACATTTCACAGTTCCATATCTGGTTGAGGTTTGTAAGCATATTAATAATGTAATGGAATGGAAACAAAGTTTGAGGTTGAGGTAGTTGAACTTTACGCTTTTTTTGTCTCCCCGCCTGGACTCTTCTCTTTGTATGCATTATGGCTTTTTAACTGATCATTTGTATCTATACTTTATTATCATGACTACAATGCACGATTTATCAGCACGAGAAAAAGATTATTTGTGCAAGACTTGTTTTGTAGTCCCAAAGGATTTGGCTGATCATTCCCTATATGTGCACAGATCAAACATGCCCAATGGACAACCCAAGTGGCTTCTTTCTATTATTCCGGGCTATCCTCTGCTCAACTTTATGCTTACAACTGCTATATACACCTTGGTAATGAGCTTTTCTCTTTCCTTCTTTTTTTGTCAATTTTTGTTCTGTTGTTTGACTCCCAGTCTCCGGAACAATCATAAGAAGTTGCGGTATGCTGCTATCTTGAAATTCTTTGCAGATATCCTATCGACTTTTTGACTTAACAAACATGCTTAAGTCAGTGTTCATACCAACTAAAGATAATCAACGGCTGCTGCAAAATTTTCTCGCTGGAATTGCTATTTCTCTTTCTTTGTATTGCACCTCGCTGATTCTGCTTCAGATTCTCAATCAGTGATGGTAAGCCCTTCTTTGCCCTGTAAGGGGTTTATGGTAAGGCATTAATGAGTACAATATGATGAACTTTGCTAATATTTTGTTTATCTAGTGTGAGGGAAGAGAGAAAATAAAGCAAAATTCCTTCCAATTTCTTAAGCTGCATGTACAGTAAATGTGTATCTTCTTGACAGGCTTGAAAATTCAAGACATTAAAACCAGGCCCCTCCATTCAAAACAAAAGAAAAATAGGTGGATTAAAATAAGGATATATGAAAATGTTAGTTCTCTCAAAGTGCTCCGGCGGCCCGTCTGCAAAGTTCATCATACTATCATTCTTCGTTACCGCATCAGATACAAAAGTTGATAAATCGTAGAGGTTGGGAAAAGAAGGGGCTGAACCCCATAGCAAGTTCAAATCAATTTTCCATACATGTGATTGTTCTTACACTTGAAAGAGATACACGTGGGGAAGTGTTATTGCGTTTGCCTCCAAGAAATTCAAGATTTAGTTACTTGTTTATATTCTGTAGCAGTACATCATTTGTGAAGGTAAAGGCAAGTTTATTCTTCGTAGTAACAGTTGCACTGTCTTAATGGCCAGAAGTGCCAATATAGTTTCGCTTTTTTAATTATTCTTACGAGAACAATAAAATGTAACTATATATTTCTATATAGATATGCTATATATATATATATATCGATCGGAATATATGTTTCATCTCAATGCTGAGAAGCCAATGATCCTTCCTTCATATCAGGTCGTAAAAGCGAGCATTGTAACTACAAATTTATATGAACGTCTGAGTTGTGTGAGGCTATTTATGGTTTATGAATAAATTTTCTATAAATTCTGCGTTATATATAAATAGAAAATAGATATGGGTGTACGTTTGGCAGATGATTAAGATCAGGATTTTAGTGAAACAATTTTATCTAAATTTAATTAATTATTTTTATTAAATTGTGACAAGATCGCATGGCGCCATCATTAGGGATAGAAGCAGACAGCCAGCAGCCAGGCATATTACCAAATGCAAAATTCAATCATTTGCATGGAGTGGCCCCTTCCACGTATTCTGTTCATGTTCGTGCTTCGTACAGATGCGCATCTTTTTGTGGGTTTAACTAGTCGAAAGGTTGTGTTGTTGTTTTTCAGCACTATTTGTTTGAATTGAGATATGAGATGTGAGGAGAGGTATAGGATTGTATCTACGTAGGTATGTACCACTCTGTTCTGTTTCTTATGTGAAGTAAGAAATTTTTTTTTTTGCCTAGATATGAATTACTTGTAGAGTGATTAATAATTTTTTTATTTTATCCCTATTAAATATAGTAAAAAATTGGTGAGAGAAAATTTACAATATTTTTTCAATATCTTTTCCTTTTGATAAATGTAAATTTTTTTAATCAATTTAATGTATTCCTTAACCTCGAGAATGTGACACAAGTAACTTATATAGGAAGCGAATAATATATATGTGTGTGTGTGTCTCTGAGGTCAACAAAGATACCTCACGTATGATCCAAAGTAATTAGACCAATCAATTATGTAAATACCAGAGTGGCAAAATAGCAAAATTGATAATTTAATACCTGACTTGTAATAACAACATACCATATCCAATATTTTAAGCTAAAATGCAATATTTTAAAATATTGGACCCTTTTTTTGTCAAAAAAATATTGGACATTTAAGTTGATTTCATCTGTTTTTTTTTTAAAAAAAAAAAGATATGCTTTCGTATGTATTGCACAGTCTAAGAAATAAATAAGTTGTATTATTTATAATTTGAGAATAAGGGAAGCTATAAATTTAATATTTAATATTGATTATTTAAAAAATTTCTATAAACATGAAGTGATATGTATGCTTGATTGGAATAATAAACAGATTTCTAGTCTTGGGGCAATAAATGTCTGTCACTTTCTTTCCCCTCATCCAACTTGGCTGCATCACGATTTTTTTGGCAACTAGTTTGTTTGATAAGCGTCTTACAAACCTTGTCTCATGCTGTTTATAGGCTGTCTATAGAATATAGATGACTTTTTTGTCTCACTCTCACGCTCTATACGACTCTGTTTCTCCACTAAAATGAACCCATCTTAACCCACCTAACTAATGAATTAAACTTGATCTAATTAGTACGGCAAGTGCTCAAAGTGCATTTTGGACACAAACATTATTCCTCCCTCTGTCTCTAATTCTCTTCATCTGAAACTACATCAACTTGGACATGGAAGAGCCTCGAGAAGTGCGTCTTGGCATAAGAGGAAGTCAAATGCTTATTTTTGTTTACAAAGAGAGAGATTCCTGTTATGAGATCATTGAGTTCAGAGAGCGAAGAAGGATTCTTCATATCCTACTTATGAATTTACTCATATATGAAGTCTTCTACTGTGATAAAAACTGAGTACTTAGATAGCAAGTTGATACTTGCAGACAAATCATACCCTGTTCTCACGCTACTTGGATCTAAACCTGTAAGAAGTGCCAAGCAGACTAAAAAACAAAGCTTTGGAAGCGTCATGTTTCTGACATGTCTATGTAGTTCAGTCACCTAACTATTTCTTCCCCGCAAAGAAAGTAGGAAGCAGAATCTGAGAGTTTAACTATCTCTTTCTATGTCGCCTGCTGTATTTCTTAAGCCACCTATAGCTGTATTAATGTCTTGTAAAGTTTCCCTTGCAGCTCACGGGCACAAAGAAACAGAACCATTGGAGGATGAAACAACTGCTTTCCCAAACCAATCAACAATCACTGGCCGAGAAAGACGATGATACAATCGTTGGCTCCGAGTAACCTTATGCACTGTATTTATCCTGTCAAGCCAGTCAGCTGCAACACTCTTGGGAAGATTGCACTATGAAAAAGGTGGAAAGAGCAAATGGATGGGGTCATTAGTACAGCTAGTGGGCTTCCCCGTTCTTCTTCCTTATTACATCATCTCATGATCCCTCTTTAAAAACCGCAACAGAAATTATTGACGTTCAGAATACTGAGAAGCAACCTTCTGTTCAAAAGCTAGCATTCGTTTAATGTCCCTATTGGTCTTCTTGGAGCATCAAATTGCTACACGTATTAGCTTGGGCTCTTGTACCTTCTTGTTTCTACTCTGTCTCTCATTTCCTCATCCCTGTTAGCTTTCAATGCTTTCTTCTCCTTCTTCCTCAGTTCTCTTCACTTCACACCTTGCATCATAAACTCTCTAGTCCTCCTCACCGTCTCCTCCATCCTCCTTGTGTTCCAAACAGAATCTGCAGCTTCAGATTCTTCCACACAAATCTCCAAAGGAAAATACGTGACTGGATTCTTGTGCGCACTTGCTTCGGCTGGTTCTTTCCCTCATACAACTAGCGTTCAAGAAGGTTATAAAAAGGGAAACTTTCAGAGCAATCATGGATATGATAGTATGTCAATCCATTGTAGCAACCTCCGCAACATTAGTTGGACTTTTTGCTAGCGGAGAATAGGAGGAGCTGAATAGAGAAATGGAAGAGTATGAGATGGAAGAGACTTCCTGTGCGTTGAATCTGACCTGGACAGCCATATTATGGTCGCTGTTTGCTATCGACTCTGTGGGGCTGATCTTTGAGGTTTCTCTGTTCTCCAATGCCATAAGTGTTCTGGGTTTGCCTGCTGTTCATATAAAGGCAATCTCTATGGTGTTAACAGCTTGGGGCTTTGTTTCATGTGTCCATCAACAGCACCTGGATGATTGCAAATCCAATAGTGTCACTGAAACGGAAACACCTCACCATCAGAAGAGTTTAACAGACGAATAATGTATATTCTGGATTTTGCATAAGATCATCGTAGTACTATTAAAACAGTGTGAAAATCACTTGTGATGTCAGATTTCTTCATCATCGTACCTGGGCCACCTCCGCCAGCTATATACTATCGATGACCGCAAACCTTGAGATGGACGTCAAGTTGAACCTATATTTATTATGAAACAGGCCAGCGGAGTTGGACCACGTGAATTTGTATGTTTTGAAGTTAGCCTTCTGCAATTGAACCAGCTGTTGGCCTGTCTGCTCTTGATGGTCCGTTCCAGCATTTATGAAATGAGAAAACTAGGGACACAATAATATAAGTGTGTAAAGGTTTATTTCTCCTATTTTTAATCATGCTTTTGTCTCTCTCACTAAAAGCATTTTTAATTTCAAAATATCCAGGTTTAAAGACAAATAACCAAGAAATGCTTGAATTCAACTAAATTACCAACCTTAGGACAACAAAATCATCAATATAAATAAAAATATAAATTTATAGCAAGCAACGCTATTCATAAATGAGTAATATTGCAAATCATCCTGTTCCAGCCTTATGCTCCGTTCTCTTCACTCTGTTGGGCCGACAGGATCATATAGAAATCCCCTGTCCAAGACGAGTGGAACAGTGGTCGTGGTTAATTTCAATATGTCTCCTCCTTTCAGTCAAGTTCAACATTTTCTCATTCTTCTCTTTCTCCTTTTCACCAGTAATATGTTCCTTAGCTAATAACTATTCTTATTGGGTCCTTGCCTGCCCTGGAACAGAGGAGAATCATGCAGCTGGCTATTGGCTGAGCTTCTCGAATGATGACGTTGCTGAGGAAATTTATTCAGTAGGAAGGTATCAATCTCGTCAATACCTTGTATAATTAATCCTCTGTTTAGGTGCAGCAACTAACACATCATCTTCTTCGACAGATATACACGGGTGCTGTGCTGTAGTGAACAAGCCACAACCACTTCTTAACACTTTCCGTGTTCCCCACAAAAGAGAGTTGTCGTGACAGATTTTAATCACATGTTAAATGCTAGATCGAAGGCACATATCCATGCTCCCGGAGAAGCACAGTCAATGAATTTAGGCCATCACGGATAAAGTCAGTTTCGGGATGGTTCCTATCACCTGTTACAAAAAAATGCACACCATCTGTGAGCTCAATCCAGCTACACCCAGGTGTCTTCCTCACATTCTCTTGCCTCATTGTATGTCTCACCTCTGATACTTCCTCATATCGACCAGCAACTCCATAGACATTTGACATCAATACATAATTTCCAGAGTGCCCTGGCTCAAGTTCAATCACTTTCCTTGCGGCAATCTTAGCCAGGTCTGTATTCTTGTGGAGATGGCATGCCGCTAGCAAAGCCCTCCATCCTATAGGATTAGCCTCAATGGGCATTGTTAGCACTAAATCATAAGCTTCCTGGAGTTGGCCTGCTCGACCAAGCATGTCAATCACACAAGTGTAGTGCTCAATGGTAGGAGAAACACCATATTTTGATTCCATTTCTGCCAAAAATTCCTGCCCCTTCTTCACCATGCCAGCATGACTGCATGCAGACAGCAAACCAACAAAAGTGATTTCATCAGGTGCCAGTTGAGTTTGACACAAACGAGAAAAAAATTCTAATGCTTCATTGCCACAACCATGCATTCCGTAACCCATGATCATGATGTTCCAAGATGCCATATCCTTCACCCTCATATTATCAAAAACCGAGTGAGCATATCTCATATCACCACATTTTGCATACATATCCATCACAGCATTGCTCACTATACTATCGTCTTTCCCAAAACCGTTAACAATCATATGGCCATGTATCTCCCTACCATGCGCTAATGCTGCAAGGTGAGTGCAAGCAGGCAGCACATTTGTAATCGTAATTAAATCAGGTTTAACCAATTCACCGAGCATCATGCTGAAAACCCTCAAAGTTCCATAATGATCGCCACAGTGTTCATGAATTGATAACATCGAATTCCATGAAAAGATATCCTTCTCATCCATTGCCTCAAAAATGTTCAAGGCATCAATTAAGCATCCGCACTTTCCATACATGTCAATTAGTGCATTAGCAACAGAAACAACCGAATCATAGCCCATTTTAATAACAAATCCATGAACAGCTCTACCATTTTCTAAGTCTCCTGTCATGGCAAAGATAGATAAGACACCAGTAACCGTGTATCTACTTGGAACTACCCCGTTTAAGCCCATCAACATAAACATCTCTAGAGCCTCATCAAACCGCGCAATCTGCGCATACCCATTGACCATTGAGTTCCAGAGCACCACGTCTCTAACAGTCAATTCATCAAACACCTCCTGTGCTTCCTCCATCAACCCAAATTTCAAATAAGTATTAACTAAAGCACTGCCAACAAATACGTCCAATTCCAGCCCAAGTTTAAACAACAAGCCATGAATCTTCTTAACCTCAAAAGAATCCATAGCATCACCACATGATCTAATGGCGCATGGAAACGTAAATTTATCTGGCACAACGCCCACACACCGCATTTGCTTATAAACCTCAAACGCATCGCGGGCAAACCCATTAGAAATAAAACCAGAAATGATTGCATTGTACGCATAAACATTCTTATCATCCAGGGAAGGGTAACTAAAGACCGTCAGGGCGTAGTTCATGAGGCTGCACTTAGAGTACATGTTGATGAGGCTGGTGACGGAGAGCGGGGAATCAAGGAACCCATTCTTGAGAATGTAGGAATGGATTTCCTTACCTTTGGATAGGTTGCTATGGTGAGCACAAGCCTGGAGGGAGGAAATGCAGATAGTGAGGTCATAGTGAGGTTGGGGGTGAAGTGAATCGAAGGTGGGTGAGGTAGAGAAATAGAGAAACAATCCAGGTCGTTTGTGGAGTAAAACTCTGAAGATTGTTCTCCTTCCATTCATCTAACTGAAAAGAAACCTTTTTGCAGAGTTCGCAACTTGGAGCTGTCACCCGGCTTCCCTCGATTCTCAACGTTCGGAACCAGTTGTTGTTGGATCCTTCCCCGCGAAATAGTTTGCAAACCTTTTCATATTCGTAATTATAAATAACTTTAAAATTAAAATTAATCTAACACCTTGTAAAATTAAGAGAAAATTAATTTTTTTGAAATGTAGTTTTAAATATTAAATCATGTTGAAATGAAAGTATAATTAAAAATAAAATATTTTTAAATATAGATACAAATATAATTATTTTTCCCACAAGAAATATCAATATTTATATAGATAAATAGAGAGTTTTAAAATAAAATAAATTATGTAATTTATATACTTGTTAAGCGTGTTATAATTTATACTAAAAAGATTGTCATTTTTATAATAATTTACTTCATACTTAAGAGGTAAAAAGATGGCCGAGAAGAATCAAATGTTAACTCAGGCAATCAAAAAACACTGTATAAAAAAATAAAAGCTTATCAAATTTAGATACGTAAATACTAAATTCATTTTTTCGGTACATTCTTTCTCTCTCTTTTTTTTTTGGTTGCGAATTTTCGTTCTTTATTTTTAGCTTATTGTACATCATTTTTTTTTGTTAGAGTGAAAGGGGTGTTATTACACATTTTTTAACCAGCCCTACTATAGGGTAAGGAAAGAGATTGGTATCTTAAAATTTTATTAATAACCCCCTTTTTTTTTATATTTATAGTGGAGTAATACTTTAATTGCATAGTTGATCAAAACACTCATATAATAGGAAGGACAAAAATTTAAACCTATTGATGAGAAACTACACAACTTTTTTTTGGCCAGAAGAAGTATTTATTCATTCAAAGTAAATAAGATTATAATCACCAATCTAAAAGAAACTAACCAATAAAGACAACAAACTTCAATCCTGAAACCGCAAATAAACTCACTAAAATACTAGAAGACGAGAAAACACATCACAACAAAATTCACGCATCATGAGAAACTACACAACTCGAGACTAGGAAAGAAAATTAAACAAGAAGATAAACAAAAGTAATAAGAAAAATTATGAATATATAATCAACGGGAAACTTTAAAATTAAAAAAAAAAAAAAAAAGAAAAGAATTCTTATCTGAAAGCAGCGGTAAAGTATGATGACGTTCCTGCATGAACACCCTTTCTCCATGTATTCCACTAATCGTTTACCCGAAAGAAAGAATATTAGACGTGGCGGCATTTTGGTTTTCTGTTAGGCCAAGCAAGCGCAAGCATATAAATCACCAAGTCCTTCTGCCAAAGAAACTGAAAATCCTCACTCCTTCTTCTTCTTCTTCTGATAAAGCTCTCAAGCTTTTCTCTCTTGCACTGAAAATGACTACGCAGCTGCCAACGTGTTTTTCGCAGTGGAATACCTCGGGCCTCAACTCTATCTCTACCCCTAAGCTCTCCAATGTACTATGCTTTCCCTTGCAATGCCGTCGCCTTCTTCCTGCTTCTTGCAGAGTGGGAAAGCAGGATCACAAGTAATGTTCTGCGTTTTAGCGCCACTTCAATTAATTCAATGGCTTACGACGTGTTAGTTAACATTTTTGTATCGTCCTTCTCTAATTCGTTGCGGTCATTGATTTCGTTTTTCGTAGGTTTTGGAAATAGAAATGAGTGCTTCCCTTTGTGAGTCATGTTTCTTTCTTTTTCTTTTTGGGTGGGAGGGTAACTTTGAGTTCAGAAATAGTGCGAGCATGAACATGTTCAGAAATATAATTATGCTTGCATCTTTTTAAAATTGATCTCAGTTTCTTGGTTTCCCGGTCATCTTTTGAGTTTGTGCTTTTAATATCAGTTTTCATTTTCGCCATCTTTCATTCCTATTATAGAACCTTTGAAGTCTATAAGATCTGTGAATTTCAAAGACTGAACATACCATCATGAAATCTAACAATCATGCTAAAGAAACCTAGTTATAGTCATCGTGCTGCCTCTCAGTTCTTTTATACTTTTCTTTTATGATAGCTAATTTAGTCCCTGCCTTGTTATGCTCAAACTCATTCAACTGTAAACAGTTTCCAGCCTCAAAATCAACCCATCAAGAAAGTTCCTGAGGATCGAACTTCAGCAGATGGGGATTTCCTACCAGTTGAATATGTTGACTCTAACAAGGAACACTCAGGAAGTACTAATGCTGATGCAGAGCAGAGCCTTGCAAGGAATTTTAGTCTTTCTGATATCACGCCTTTGGTATCTCCCAATCTTTTGTTATGTATAAACGATGGCTTGTTCATGCATACACATCCACACACATGCATATCTCTCTTTAATTGCATTTATGCCGGCCTCAGTTTTAAGTCTGATAAAAGATATACTGTTTGGTGTACAAAATTGCAACTGAAGAGATAAAAGACGATGATGTTACTTCGATATAATATTCTCCTATGTGACAGGCCATAAACAAAGATGTAGCCAAGCTAAGAGAGGAGCCATTAGGTACCCAACTCCAGAATTTGTTGGAAATGATAAGATATGTTGAGAAAGGTAAGATATCTTTCAGAAATACTGATAGACCTTGTTTCAATTCCTTCGTCAAATTTTTTGGTTTTATAGCTTGTCGCCTAAGTAGATTTCTTTAATCCTGTAGATTCAGATATTTATGTCTTAAAGCAAGCCAGAGTTCGGTCACTCGAAGATCTTCAGAACATTCTTTATGAGAGGGAAGTATTGCAAAGAAATGTTGAAATCTTGGAGAAAAGGTTGGCAGAGACTGAAGCACAGTTAAAAGTGGCCGACCAGGAAAAGGTACGTGTGGAACTCTTGGAAAGAGAATATTCCCTCTTGGAAGTGAAAGACTTGGAGTCAAAATCCTCTGTTTCTCAGGAAAACTTATCAGAGATGCTTTCAACACTAAGAATTAGAAGCAAGGATCTAAGGGATGGGATTGAAAACTCGCAGTTGCTGTTACATAGGGAAACCAAACAAGCTGATAAACCAACCACAGCATTGCAACGAAATCATGACCTTCAGAGGAAGGTTGAAGAATTGAGCACTCCTGATGTTGAACCCGCTGATCATATGCCATGGGAATTTTGGAGTCAGCTGTTGCTTATAATTGATGGCTGGTCACTTGAAAAGAAAATATCAATACAGGATGCAAAGGTTCTGCGAGAAAAGGTGTGGAAGAGAGACAGATGTATTTTAGAAACATTCATGGCTGTCAAAGAACAGAGTGAAGATGAGATTATTTCAGCACTTCTTGCAACATCTGCAACAAGGTATTATCTTTTCTATTGTAATTATCTTGCACTCTATGTATCTTTTGTTGTCTAATCCGGCTCTTATTTTACCTCTTAGTTCGGGATTGCATGTAGTTCACATTGCAGCAGAGATGGCACCAGTAGCCAAGGTGAACTAATTTTGTCCTACGATAAGTTCCCTTGGATGTTTTCTTTCCAAGTAAAGTTATTTTCACTTTATATATCTCCAGATTTATATCTTGTTCTAAGCTTGGGAATCTTTTCATTTCTGGATGCTTAACCTTGCCATACCTCCAATTTTCCAATTTCATGAGAGAATTTTTATGGGGCAGAGTAAATTTTTTTTTTTGGTCACACCTCAGCTCTGAGTAAAACTCTTCATGGATTTAATATAAATATTAAGATTTAAGATGAATTTTTTCTATAATAGGTTGGTGGTTTGGCAGATGTTGTCGGTGGCCTTTGTAAAGCATTGCAGAAGAGTGGACACCTTGTTGAAATTATTCTTCCCAAATATGATTGCATGCGGTATGACCGGATCAGTGGCTTAAGGGTATGCTATGTAGTCTTTTCATAAAATGATCAAACACAAATATGGAAAGAATCTTACTACCATGAATCACTCATGATAACCTTACCCTTATTGCAGGCTTTAGATGCAGAGATACACTCATACTTTGATGGTCAACTGTACAAAAATAAAATCTGGGTTGGCACTGTTGAAGGTTGACAATTTAATATTTCTGTACGTTGAATATCTATCTTGTGTACTATTCTGTTTATCTCGCGTAGCAACTTAACCTTTGTTATGCAGGCCTTCCTGTGTACTTTATTGAGCCTGTTCACTATGCTGAGTTCTTTCGGAGAGGACGGATTTATGGAGAACATGATGATTTCAAGCGCTTTTCCTGTTTCAGCCGTGCAGCTCTCGAGTTTCTTCATCAATCTGGCAAGAAGCCTGATATCATTCATTGCCATGATTGGCACACAGCATTTGTTGTACGTACTATCAATTTCTCTGCAGCTAAATTTCATGTTTCTTATGAAAGCCCTGAATTTTCAACTACCAGATTTCATGTTTCTTTTGCTAGGCTCCACTATATTGGGAAGTATATGTCCCAATGGGATTAAATTCTGCAAGAGTATGCTTTACATGCCACAACTTCGAGTATCAGGGGACTGCCCCAGCCTCAGAACTGTCATCTTGTGGTCTTGATCCCCGCCGGTTAAACACACCAGACCGATTGCAGGACAACAAAGCTCATGATAGGGTCAATCTTGTCAAGGTATAATAATTAAAATTTATTTATTATAGTTTATTTCATGAACTGAAACTACTAACATTTTTGCATCCGATTGTCAGGGTGGAATTGTTTTCTCTAACATCGTGACAACAGTGTCTCCTACTTATGCTCAACAATTGCAAACCATGGAGGTATGGTCCTTGTTCTTGTGCATATAAAGAGTTTTGCCTCCTTTATTAAAATAACACAAAGAGAACATGTTGGAACTGGCCACAGATATGATAAGACGGAGATGGGTAAATAGTTGGAAGAACATGAAAGAAAGAGAATAAAGGCATGAACAATATTGCAATATTTCAATGTTTAGGAATGGTTATCATGATATTATTGTACTCAATGCAGGACGGGCAGGGCCTCCATTCAACACTTCGCTCACAATCCCACAAATTTTTTGGCATTCTAAATGGTATCGACACTGATGCATGGAATCCTAATACTGATACTTATCTCAAAGTTCATTTCAATGCGAGTTATCTTCAAGGGAAATCAAAAAACAAGGATGACCTGAGAAGGAAACTGGGTCTTTCATCTGTAGATGCCAGGATGCCGCTGGTAATTATATGTTCTTATTATAAATGAGAAGTTACTTGGTGCAACGATTTTTATTTTTATGTCCTTCCTCAACTGTTTTAATCAATTATATTTTCTTGATGTCATAATTCAAAAGAATCCTGACTTAATCAATATAATAATCTACCTTTATTTTTCCTTCTTTCCTACTTCAAGAATTTCGCAAATTGACTTATGTTTGGGTATTTTTATGCTCTTCTAGGTTGGCTGTGTAACGAGATTGGTGCCACATAAAGGCGTTTTTCTCATTAGACATGCAATATATCGAACATTAGAGATGGGAGGACAATTTGTTCTTCTTGGTTCAAGTCCAATACCGAAAATTCAGGTCATACTTGTGCCCCAAAATTTATAAGCGTTTCATTTCTATTTGTTGAATGAGGAGAAGATCAAGCAATATAACATAAGAACTGAAACTTTCTGACCATTATTCAACTTGAACATTAGCTGGAAAGTTATCAAAAAGTAGAGAGGAAAATGTACTTCGTATTTTTCTACTAGTTTTAAATTACTTTTGCAGTACTGTTCTTAAAGCATTCAGTTTGAAGCAGACATATATGTGTGTATCATGTTGTAATTGTCAGCAAAACTTCACAGCCAAAACTCCTAGTCTAAAATTTAATAATGCGTAAGTATGTGAAATCAGGAAAACAGAGTATTTGAAGGAATACACTTCCTTCTTGTATGTATTCTTTACTGATTTGTGTTTCTCTCTTTTTTAGGAAGAATTTGAGAAGATTGCTCGCAACTTTCAGGATCATGACCATGTTCGGTTGATATTGACATATGATGAATCTCTCTCTCATCTCATTTATGCTGCATCTGACATGTTGGTCATTCCATCGATCATTGAACCTTGTGGCCTAACACCGGTAAAGTCTTCGCGCTTGTTCATGAAACTCGAAGAGCAACGAACTGGAGCATGTTACTCATGTTGTAGAATATCCATAAATTACAGCATCTTTAGCATCTCCATGAATGACCTTTGGCTTTGTTTTAATGCATGTGTTTCGTGTTTGAACCTTACCGTGAAATTAGTAATCATCAGTCTGTCTCTGTCTCTCTTTCTTAAACTCTCCTGCCTTGTTATCTGTTCTGCAGATGATAGCCATGAGATATGGCGCCATCCCTGTTGCCAGAAAAACTGGAGGAATCAATGACAGGTATCAAAACCTGCATAATATCACCACATGGAAGCATAACTCTCTTTTTTTTCTGAAGAATAATTGAATTATATGTCTTTTTTGTAGTGTTTTTGATGTCGAAGATAATACAGTGCCTTATGAGCTAAGAAACGGATTTACATTTTTGAAGGCAGATGAGCAGGTAAGTCGGCGAAATATCAAATCTTGAGTCCTATAAGCTTGTCATACGGTTGTATCTATTGTTCAATGCAGTAGGATCCTTTTGAAGGAAGCTTTCAGGATCTGATGAAATATGATGAAACAAATTTGGGCAGGGATTAGACAATGCTTTGAAACGTGCATTCCAGTTGTACAAAAGAAATCCTGAGAGTTGGGATCAGCTTGTTCGGAAGGACATGAACATGGATTTCAGCTGGAAATCCTCAGCAGCACAGTTTGAGGAGCTTTACTGCGACGCTGTGGCTAGAGCAAAGAGAAGGAACATGCTTAAACGAACCTGACAACCTTCACCTCTCTGCGGCAACTTTTCAAGATTTAACTTTTGTATTGTTTGTGAATGGGTTCTGCATTTTGAGTCTGAGAGAGGAAGCTGCATACTCCATGAGTTCTCCAAGTGATGTAAATAAAATAAAAATTTGCTCTCTCCTCAGGAATAAAAACGTGATATTTATTGCAGCAAGCCATGAATATCTCCACACCTATTTTCAGTCAGCTTTTGCACTGCTGCTTTTTTCTCCACATCTTAACGTTTGGGCTTAATAGAAAACTTGCCACACTGTGGATGATTTCATAAACATGGGTTCCATTTATTATCATTAGCCGCTACCAGAAGTAAAATTTTGAGATCAATTTGAATTGAGCCCTGGTGCACAAAACACAATATGCTCCTTAACTGGTTTGCAACAAATTTACATCACGAGTCACAACCCACACATTCTTCTTCTTCTTGAAAACAAAAAAAATACATTTTTCTAAGTTCACTTTCCGGGAACAAAGTTAGTGGCATAGGCCCAGGCGTTGTTGTTCACTGGATCAGCAAGGTGGTCTGCAAGGTTCTCCAGAGGTCCCTTTCCAGTCACAATGGCCTGAACAAAGAACCCAAACATTGAGAACATGGCCAATCTACCATTCTTGATCTCCTTCACCTTCAGCTCTGCAAAAGCATCCGGGTCATCTGCAAGACCCAATGGATCAAAGCTTCCACCCGGGTAAAGTGGGTCTGTCACCTCGCCAAGAGGCCCGCCGGCAATACGGTATCCCTCAACGGCACCCATCAAGATCACTTGGCATGCCCAAATTGCAAGAATGCTCTGTGCATGGATCAAGCTTGGGTTGCCCAAGTAGTCAAGCCCACCCTCACTGAAGATCTGAGATCCGGCCTTGAACCACACAGCTTCACCGAATTTGACACCGTTACGGGCCAAAAGCTCAGGGAAGACACAACCCAAAGCTCCGAGCATAGCCCACCTGCAGTGAATGACTTCAAGCTCACGGTTTCTGGCAAAAGTCTCTGGGTCAGCTGAAAGCCCGGCAGTGTCCCAGCCATAGTCACCTGGGAACTCACCGGTCAAGTAGGACGGGGGCTCACCGGAGAAGGGGCCCAAGTACTTGACACGGTCGGGGCCGTACCATGGGCTGCCGGAAGGGCCGGCGGGCTTGACGGTCTTCCTCATGGAGACTCGCCCAACACCCAACTGTGCTGGAGAAACCTTAAGTGCCTCACCGGCAAAACTTGGGGAGGAGAGGGCCATAGTGGAGGCAGCCATGGTTAAGCAAAACGCAGCTTGTTTTGAAGGCTGTGAGTGGTGAGGATGAAGTGAAAGAAACGTGGAGTTTGGGTCCCTATATATAAGGGGACGGAGAGGTAAGAATCTTATCAGAGGTATCTAAATCTTCATTCTCATTGGGGCTTCGAGATTTTTGTAGTTGTGTTGCTTTGTCCACTTGGCACCGCCTAATCCACAGATAACGGCTAGATTTGTCAAAAAGGGTACATCCAATCAGAGAATGCCGCGTGTAACTTCAAGATTTCTATGTCTTGAAGATTTTTTTTCCCTCCATGCATGTACCTGAATAACAGCATACGAGTCATAGTGAAAGGTTATCGTCTTCATTGGGAAGCATTATCCTTTTCATAAGTAAAATTGAAAACCACCATGTATATGTGAAAGGTTAATTAGTTGTTCAAAGTCATACGAATACGATAGCGACTATGATTTGAATGTTTTGGTAGAATCTTATCAGTAGCAAGCATTTTCAATCCGCTTCAGATTTTTTTTTTTTTTTAAGGAAATATGCAACCATGGAATCCATTTCTCCATAGCTTCCACGTATTCTAATACATAATTATATTTCTACAGAAAAGTTCTCTTACTAGTAAGTAATAATAACCGGCTAATTACCTCTAAAAGAATATTATACTTGAAAAAAAATTGGAAAAGAAAAGGATGGACCATCCTGTGGGTAAGAAACAGGGAATCACGAGAGGGGACAAAAGGCGACGGGGAAGAATTCAAAATGGATATGTGGAGGACGTGAAGCGAATGGTTGGACGAGGGAATCACTAAGCATTTAATTTTATTCTCTTCAAGGCAACCAACTCCATAACAGTATATGAAAAATACAGAACAAAGAGGTGTTTAATGGCTAGCCGTCGGAAGCCATTGGACAAGCTTCCCAATAAATCCCCTGCCCCTCATACTCTGATGAAATATTGCATTTAAACTTGATGTTGATATGTTTATGTGTGGATTTGAAAAAAAGAAAAGGTTGCAAAAGGAACTGCTTGAGATTTTTTAAGTGTTCTTTTTTATGTGAACTTGTTAAGGATAATGTCGTTATGAAAAAACACACAACAATGCCTTCCTTAGGACCGAAAATATTATAAGGGAGTAAAAGTGGAGGCTTGCATTCATCAACGGCTCTGTAATGAAGCAACTGTGCAAGCATTATCAGCCACATGTTCTCTTTGTATTCTGGCCAAGTATAAATTCCACTTTTGTCGGTTTTCCCAACGTTATGGATCACTTCCTGTTATTTTGCAGACATAGTACCATTATCTTGAAGTTCACGTGTCAATTCCTTATTGGATTGAGGACGTGTTTACGTTATTGCTATAGGTATATCGTGATCTGTTCAAGGGATTAAACTACCCCAAGGTGATAACTGCGTTTGGAAACACAAAATTATTCAACCCTTTCATTGAAATGCAGAGATAGATCTCACTTTACCCAGGTGGAAGTTTTGGGCCTTGTAGATTGGCCATGTTTTCAATATTTGGGTTCTTTGTTCAAGCCATTGCCACTGCAAATGGACCTTTGGCAAACCTTGCAGGCCATCTTGCTGACCCAGTGAACAACAATGCTTGGGCCTGTGCCACAAACTTTGTCCCAGGAATGGGTGACTTTGAGTATCTGAGAAAGAACTTATGCAGAAATGGATCACAATATCTGTTTCTTATAAGTACTTGTGCCTTTATTCATTTCTGAAAACTGAAATGAACATCACAAAGATAATATTACATTATACACAAACGCAAAATTTTCTCCTCTCTTAATTTTTTGTGACCTATGATATTTTCTTCTTAAGCATCATCAAGACAGACAACACTTGGTTCATACTAGGTCGATGTTCAGGATCAGGGAGAGTACAACTCAATGATAGTTTCAACAGCTCCACTAAGACATCTTCCTGATGTTCCTTCTCCTCAGAGAGCAAAGGATCCACAAGTTGAAGAACATGTTGCTTTGCCAGTGCTTTCTGCACTATTTGACGCAGACTATCCTCTTCTGTGAGCCCTGTTGGTCTCCTTCTTGTTAGAAACTCCATTACTACTATACCAAAGCTGAACACATCAACTTTGGTCGTTACTTTCCTCATGTACGCAAGCTCTGAAAATTAAATCAAAGTAGCTTTGGTCAGATATCAAAAATTACCAACAATTATGGCCACAAATGTTGGTAGATTCAAACAAAAAAAAAACAAATGCCTGAGAGTTAAATTTTGGGTTTTGAAAAGTTGGGTTGGTTATTAAGCAATGGGCTCTCTGATTGGCCTTTGTATTTAGAGCTGAAGCTCTCTTTTAAAGTTAAATTAAAAAATAAGGATACAATAATACCCTCTTTTTTTTTTTGCAAGAAATGAATGTTTAATAGTATCGATTTTCATATAATTTGAAAATAATTGCTAAATTATTTATTGTTTAGTATATAATTGAATTTTTCATTACAAATTAATTAATTAACAAAGAATGACACTTTAATTTGTTTGTATTTTCAACTCGAGCCCATGCATCCATGCATGTATAGTCAATCCTTGTTCTACTCTCCCATTTTCTTTTAATATTTTCAAAATGATAACATGTCTAATCTGAATAACCAATGCATTTGGAAAAAGGACATTACCTGGAGCCAAATAACCAACGGTGCCTTGGAAAGCTGCTGACGAGGACACAGAAGCACCATCTTGCAAATGGAGACCAAGCATTCTAGCTGTCCCAAAATCACTCACATGGGCCACCCAGTCTCCATCCAAAAGAATATTGGAAGGCTTTAAATCACAATGCACAATTGGAATATCATAACCAGAGTGCAAGTAACCCAATGCATCAGCAGCAGACATGAAAACGTTGAGCCTTTCAGATAATGTCCATCTAGATCGATCCATCCCTTCTTCATGTATTATGCTATCCAAATTGCCATTCTGCATGTACTCCAAAACTAGAGCCTTTATTTTCCTACTCTCCCAAGCATAACCCACTACCTTGACCAAATTCCTATGCCTTAGTTGGCTCAAGGTGCTTATTTCTCTCTTGAAAAGTTTGTCAGATTCTGCAGAAAAATAGTCCAAGTTCAGTTTTTTTATTGCCACTTTCTTGCCGTCTCCCAATTGACCCTTATAGACAGTGCTCAAATTGCTAGCTCCAATGATGTTATCTGAGCTGAAAGAACTAGTAGCATTTTCTAGCTCCTTTCTATCAAATCTTTCAGGTGTCAAAGCCGATGTGTAGTTTGGTATTCCATGATTCTCAAGCTTGTTAGAACGACGTGATCTGGCCTGTCGTATGAGAAATAGAGTCACCAATACCAAAATTAGGAGGACAGCAACCGATCCAAGTGAGGCAATAATAATTATGCTCTTCCTGGATAATGAATGAGATCTCTTAGTTGTTTCCCTGCATGGCATCAGAAATTTGGTTCCACAAAGAGCAGGGTTTCCTATCAATGCAGCTGCATCTATATGTGAGAATATTCCGTTTGATGGAACTTGACCTTCAAGTTGGTTAAAAGAAAGGTTGAGAAGCTTTAGATTGGAGAGGTTGGCAAAATTATCAGAGATAGATCCCTTCAAGTCATTATGAGAAAGATCCAAAGAAACAAGATGCTGGAGCTTTGACAATGTCTCGGGGATTTCTCCATCTAATTGGTTCATTGAAAGGTTCAAGCTTTGAAGTAAGTCCATGCGATTGAAAGCCTTTTCTGGAATAGGACCTGAGATATTGTTGCCTGAAAGATCAAGATTAAATAGATTTCTGCACCCTGAAAGTGTCTTGGGAATGACACCAGATAGATTGTTGTTTGAAAAATCAATGGCTTGTACCATTTCCATCATACCAAGCTCTTCCGGTATACTTCCAATAAAGTGGTTATGAGACAAATTGAGATATAGCTGCATGCCTCTAAAATATACGATGACATCCCCAGGAATTGACCCAGTCAGGTGGTTCTGTGACAAATCCAGCATCAAGAGCTGGCTGAGCTGTCTCAACTCTCTTGGAATTGATCCATTGAACATGTTCCCATGGAGGTCTAAGTAAGAAAGCATCTTAAGCTTGGAGAAAGCCTTTGGGATTTGACCAACCAGCTTGTTCTCATGTAGCTCAAGCTCTGTTAGCTGATTTAGTTCAAAGAACTGATTTGGTATTGTTCCTTCCAATGCATTCCCATGCAAGTATAGACCCTGAAGAAGACTGAGGTTGGATAGCTCTAAAGGAATGTGACCAGAAAATCTATTATCAGAAAGTGATAATGTCACAAGTTGATTTAAATTCCCTATTTCAAGTGGAATAGGCCCTGTGAAAGAATTTAAATTCAGCTGAAGCATCCTGAGATTGAACAGGTTTTGGATAATAGGTTTTAGCATCCCACTAAAGTAGTTCTCAGCCAAACTTAGAGTTCGAAGATTTGAGCAGTTGAAGAGATCATCTGGGATTTCACCGGACATTTTGTTTGATGCAAAAGACAAGAAAGTAAGATTAGGCATCCTTGAAAAGCCTTCAGGAATGTTCCCATTTAGTGAATTAAAGGCTAAACTTACATTCACCATACTAGTACAATTGGTAATACTAGGGGGGATATGACCATGAAAACGGTTGGCGTGCAAGACTAGAAACTTCAAATTATGAAGCACTCCTATGTTGGAAGGAAGTCTACCTGAAAGGAGATTCTGGCTCATTGAGAGATATGTTAAGTTTGTCAAGTTTGTGATTGATGGAGGAATTTGTCCAGTAAACTTATTTGAATGCAGGGTTAGAACTTTAAGTGATTTCAAAGATCCAATTTCAGGAGATATTATTCCCTCTAACCGATTCTGTGACAGACCCAAGTTGGTTAATAATTTCAGCTGGAAAATGGAAGAAGGAATTGTGGAGGTGAAGTTATTGCCATATATCCTTAATGTCTCCAAATGAACTAAGTTTCCGAGCTCGAAAGGAATGCTTCCAGACAACTGATTTGTGTATAGTTCAAGGTTCACTAGCTTCATGCACTGACCAAGTTCAGAAGGGATTTTTCCAACCAAGGAATTCTCAAATAGAACAAGATATTCTAAATTTCCGAGGTTCCCAATCTCTCTAGGTATGCCTCCTGACAACTGGTTTTGACTAAAATCTAGAGATTGCAAAGCCCTTAACTTACCTATTGAAGGAGGAATAGATCCAACAAACTTATTAGTAAATCCTGCGACTAGCGTAACGTTAACCAAGTTGCCAATATTTGAAGGAATTTTACCATCCAGATTGTTAGAATTAAAAGCAATACCTAGCAAAGAGGTGCAGTTAAATAAGCTTTCTGGGAGGCTTCCATTCAGATTGTTATTACCCAAATCCAAATACTGCAGGCCTTTCAAGTTTCCTAGCTCAGGTGGGATTGGACCCCAGAGAGAGTTGTTAAAAAGAACCAATTGAGAAAGCTGGGAGCAAAAGCTGAGCTGAGGAGGAATGAGCCCAGAAAATGAATTTGAGGTTAAGTCAAGAATCTGGAGGCCAGAAAGATTGCCCAGGAATGGTGAAATCTTACCTTGGAGCTTTTGGCCAACCTGACTGAGTGAGGTAACATGTTGTAAAGACGGGTCACAAGCAATGCCAGACCAGTTGCAATGATGGGTTGTGTCAACCCAATCTGCCAATGCTCCATTTGGGTCGTGAGTGATAGAGCTTTTGAAAGCTTTCAAAGCTTCAATTTCAACTTCCAGGGAGCTTGATTCAGCATTTGAAAGTATAGTTGAAATGGAAATGAACAAGACTATGAGTATAGTCAAACTGATCTTTGGAGGCATCGGAATTGAAGGAAGGATAGAAGATGGGTAGACTCAGCTGCAGTTTGCAGATATGGTGAAAGCTGAACTAGAAAATGCCTTTATATAGACGAAGTTTTGACTTCCAAGAAGAGCAATGAACCCATTTGTGACAGTTTTCACACATCACATGCTGGTGGGTCAAATGATTAGCAGAGATTAAGGACGAAGTTCTTTATTGTTTGGACAAAGACTTGACCATGTTGAAGCTGACTTCTTGAGTTCATGTCGGTATCGCCAAACGAGCTGCCTCCTATAAATCATAACGCAGATTGAGACCTTAGATAATGATGACGGTGTAATAGCAGGAAAGAGAGAGAAGTTGCAGGCATGTTATCCATATTCAGAGCCCAATATCAACAAATGCAGCAATTATAGTGTCTTAGACGGTTGGTGCAATGAACTTTCAACTTAAGGGTTTCAAGTTTGGTCTACATTTTTCTCCAACCCATGGGCGTAATTAATCAACAAGTATGACCATAGATTTTCGCAAAAGCTCCAGTTTTGAGTAGAATATTAGTTAACACACGTGGAAGTGATGACCCAGAAAAACAGGGAAGCAAGTGGACTAATATATGATAATATGAGTATAGAGAAATAGGAGCATTAGATATGAGAAATAGTAGTATAATAATAGAGAGGAAGCAAAGCTGCAACTGCAAGTGGTGTATGAAACGCGGTATGGAGGAGTAGAGTGGGGTCCTTATATGATATGCATCATTAAACAAGTTGGCAACAAGGTTGGTGACATACTTTGACCAAGAGAAACTAGTGGTGGAGCGATAGGTCGTTGTATTGTAGTGAATTCCATTCATTCATACTTCATTTGTCAGAGAAGGAGACATTGTTTTTAGTGGAATCTTGCATATATCTGAGTCGGCAGTACAGATAGAAGCTTTAACAACTCTGTAGTGTTAAGACATTGTTTTTACTGGCATCTCGCATCACTCAGCAGCAGATAAAAACATTATTAAGGAAAGGAAAAATTGATAATAATATCGATGACAGCTGTGGGATTTGAACCCACGCCCTTTCGGACCAGAGCCTAAATCTGGCGCCTTAGACCACTCGGCCAAACTGTCAGGTGACGATGCCCTTCATATGATTAATAATATATGCAGCAATTTAACCAACTGTTTCGCTCTCCCTTCTTCCAATGTAGGGCAGGGGATGTCTTCCCACTTTGGATTCATAAAATTTTTTAATGATTTTTTTTCCCCATAGTTTTATAGCAAAAATGTTATTTTTATTTATGGAATTATTGAATTATAATTTTCCTTTTTTGTATTGATGTTTTATGTGAAATTTCCTATTTAAAAGACAGAATATGTGTTGCCATTCTTAGATTATATTATGCATCAGATAGTCAAAATTAGAATTTTGATGAGTCGGGATAAGTAAAAATTAACATGACACAGGAGATTATACCAGTTATAAATATCTTGTAAATTATAGTAGTTTATAAAATAACTCATTTTCAGATATCAAGAAATAGCCATTTTGAGATATACAATAGCCTGTGGTTTGGTCAAATTTTCAAAACTCATTTTAGTTGATTAAGTTATTTGCTTTGCTAAATTAACAAAACAAGACATTTTTATATATTCCTTAAGGTTTTTTTTTAATGAAATATATCTTCAATTAATGAGATCCATATCATTTCTCATGCAGATCAAATCAATATGTTACATGTAAGGCTTGTAACCAAAAAAAAAAAAAAAAGGTCATCGAATCTGTACCCTTTGCTTCAAGCATGCAAATTTTCCAAACATAATTGAGAATATTCTAATTTTATATAGGTTCCTTTAAGCTACTAACTAAAACAATAATCCAGTAGGTGGCAAGGGAATAGCATTTCTAATGCAAAATTAAACTAGAGTAATCCTCATTGTGTACGCATATTATACATGATATAATATAGCTGACAAATTTGACTTGGTCAATAATATAATCGGATGCAGAATAGATTACTAATACTAGCTCCTTGTAAACATCGGACTAAAAACACATTGAGTGTAACCCTTTTACTTCAAAAGCTTGCAAAAAGATAAAAATAATAATAATACTGATAACATAATCTATTGACCCAAAAAAGATAATTTAAGTCAAATAAATTAATACTTGTAGTGAACATTAATTATAGGTTAGACATACAATAAATGACAACTAAGCCAATGAAACAATCATGTGCATGATTTCATCAGTGGGATTAATCAATAGCCAATAATAAGTTGCAATATTATGCATACCTTCTAGAAGTAGTCTTCCATTGTCATGTATAAGTCGCATGCAGAATTATTAATCACTATTTTTCAATTTTATTCTTATTTATGAGGAGTACGCATTGGATAGAGAAAGAGGAGACATGCTAAACAGATTTTAATAAGGGCAATTTTTTTTTAAATTTAAGATAAATTTTATAAATTAATTGATCTTCCTCAATTCGAGTGAGATATATTTTTTGATGAAAAGAAGGAGTGTTATACTCTTTAATGTGTTGTTAGAGTGATTTATAGTTTTTTTTTTTTAAAACAATACATGATTCGGTATGTGTGGAATGTAAATATAAAAAGGAAAAATTCCAAAAAAAAACTTCTAAAATTTTAAAATCTTAAATCGGGAATGACTACAAAAATGTGCTGTTATTTGCTTTTCAAATATTGTTGATTATTATTAAAGTGTAATGAATAAGTTTGATTTGAAATTTTAAAATTCAAAAATATTTTTTTTGAGATTCTCTCTTATAAAACAAGATTCCTAATATGTACTTCTATGCTCCTTAAAATAAACTCTAATTAATTAATTTAAATAAATTAAAGATGTTAGTTATGTGATATGCTATTTCTAAAACACCGCATCTTTCTTGATTCTCCTCCTTCCTCTTCTATTTAATTGTTGTTGGAGGAATATCAATAAAATTAATTTGAAAAAAAATTGAGAAAAGTTGATAAATATATGAAATAAATTTTATATATAAAACAAATTAACATTAACTTCTTAATTAGATTTTACATTAAGGATTAAAGATCGGAGGAGTATGAAACTTCCTATGAATAAGAATATTTTCTTATTCAAGAAGAAAGCATAAACAGAGAATTAAAGAAATAAAAGAAAGAAAGAGAAGAAACAAAACAGGCGTAAGCTAAAGAATCAACACAAACAACAGATAAGAAAAGAACCATATTGTTAACAGGCGCAAGACACATCAATGGCAATAAATTCCAAAAATATCATCATTCTAAACCCAAAAAAAAAAAAATTATGTTAATTTGTCATGCATAGCTGCAGTTTCTGAAGGACAGAAATGTGAAACAAACCCGATGTGTGATTTTGGGTCTTGAGAATTAAAAATGGCATGTTCTTCCCCAGGAAGCTTCCGTTTTTCCAATCTCAATCTGGGGCTCACTTCTCTGCAACTTCGAGCATGTAAATAATTAATTAAACTGATTACTCACAACCACATTAGGTTGTTTGCTTGCGACTTGAGAGGCATAATGTGTTAGTCCGCAGAAATTTGATTTTATTTTAGTTTTAGACATGATGATTAGTTCAATTATAAAGTTGTTTTATTTGGTATATTCTCATTTAAAATATTTAATGGCATTTTTAATCTATAACGTAAGTGATTTTGGAAAAACATAAGCACATCTTATAGGAGTTAATACATAATTTTTGTAATTAATACTTCTTCTTTTTTTTGGCGAATTGATTAATACTTCTTTTTATTCATTATATATATAAAAACTTATATGCTGCTCAAACTAGATTTTACAAAAATTCAAAGTGGATTTTATAAAAACTAGATTTTATTCATTAAGCAATACCATTGAATAATTCGAAGTGGAAGATTTTACAGGAAGCAAAACCTTCTCCATTTATTTATTTATTTATTTTTTGCGTGGGCGTGTATTGAATTAATTCATTTTTATATTTATAAATTCAACAATTATATATAGAACATGAATGTGATAGATAACAGAGGAATACTATTAATAGGCCTGACCCGACTCTTTGCCAATTAAGATCAACCTCTGTATGAACCCTAATTAAACCTTTCCTTTTCATATGTTCCATTTAATTTGTTATCTGTACTGTCTCAACTCAAGAATACCAAGCAGGGATATGCAGTATTCCTTGGAGACAATCCAGCTTGTTCCACAGCAACATATGCAAAAACCTCTATATATACCTTGCCCCAAGACTCTCAGTATCACATCACATCCACAGCAATTGGTTAATCATATAGCGAGCTTCTTTTCACTCCTCAGAGAGTTGCTGTTCAACATGGCTGTATCTGCTGGGTCTCTTCCAGTTCCACTTTCACCTCTCTTCATTTTCCTTCTCCTCCTCACTCTCAACTCAGGTCATATTATATATTGCTAGTAGCGTCTCGCCCATATATATTATATATGATTGGCCTGTTGTACGTGTGTGTGTGTGTGTGTGACTGTATATCTAGCTAAGTGATTTTAAATTTGGTTGGTGCAGGTGGGAATGTGAAGATGGGCAACGGACAGGTGAAAGTAAAACACAAGACTCTTCTGTTTCCGGGAATATTTGTTTAGTGATGATATATGATGGGTTGTATATATGGAAGCAGGAAAACGAGAGGAAGTGGTGTGTGGCGAGGCCTTCAGCAAGTGAAGCGGAGCTGGAAGCAGATATTACGTATGCATGCAGTCACGTGAGGGATTCGTGCAGGCTGATTCAGGAAGGCGGAGCCTGCTTCTTCCCTAACACACTCATCAACCATGCCTCCGTTGTTATGAATCAGTACTATGCTGACATGGGAAGGAACTCTTGGAACTGTGACTTCTCTGCCTCTGCTCTTCTTGTTCTCTCTAACCCAAGTACGTACATACCTGCCCTTCTTCTTTCTTTTTATAAATCTATACCTGGCCCAGCTTGGTCTTGTGATTGCTTGGATTCTGAGCTCAACCAGTTGATCTCTTGCAGGTTATGGTGGTTGCTCTTATGCCTAGTGGAACTAATAAATGACTCGTGGCGATAAAGATCTGGGTTTTGATATAGCTAGTACTAAAGTATGTTTAAAGTTGGATACAGGCATCAGTATGTGTAATCTAATGAATTTACAGTAATAAAGTTGACATCTTCGTGAAAATCCCGGATGTTCAAAAAAGGGTGAAACAACAAAAAGGCAAACATAGTGGAGGGGCATTCCGAGAATTGAACTCGGGACCTCTCGCACCCTAAGCGAGAATCATACCACTAGACCAAATGCCCATCGGTGCGGCGTTTAATCCTTTTATTAGTTTCACTTTATGCATCTAATGTCGTCCGCGGAACCATAAGGGCCCTAATATTTGAGCATCTTGAACGCTAAAAATATGAGAATGTTATGCAGGAAAAAATTCTATATATCATAAACTGCTTCTTTGGGCCATCTATTAATTATTAAAGATGGTGTGAAAATTAATTTTTTAAAAAAAAGGCAAAGCTAAAACCTTGAGAAATATTATAAACGCAATGGTTCATTTTTTTGGTTAAAAATCAATTTGTTACAACATGCTTTTGAAATATCCCTCGTGGCGCATTACAAATTGAAACTAACAATCAATATATAAATTAATAATTAATAAAAAAAATTTAATTTTTTTGGTAGTAATTTTAATTTCTAAACTAACGCAGCCCATCAAAAATTATGATAGAATTATCATTTTCTATTTTGTAATTTATGATTATAAGCTGCTCAATTATTCTCCCTTAACACCTTACTGCAATTCTCCTTTGAAGAGGAAAACGCGAACCGCACGTGATTGCGATCTTCAAACGCTCGTTTGCGGGAAGCGGAAACGAGCTGCTTCTGCATTGGGAAAAGCAAGTGGAATAATAATAACGGGCAGTTGAAAGGCATTAACAAATCCCTCGAACCTCGCCCGCTGAGCAGAACGGATCCTCTTGCCGCAGTCCCTGTGCTTCCGACTCCGGTGCCGGCGCCCTCAAGTGTGCGTGTTCTGTTGTTGACGGTGAACAGGCAAAGCTTTGACATTCTGCGCGAATAGAAGTTTCTCGGCCTTTCACTCAGAGCGAGAAGTCAGGCAGCGATGGTTTGGAGAAATCTGGAGCAAATTAGACTCACGGCCAAAGAATTAGGGAATTTGGCATTCTCGCTTGTGAAAATCCCCTTTTCTCTTCATGTCACTGTTGTAAACTCTCTCTCTCCCTCTCTCTACTCTCTTGTTTAGATTGTATTTCATGATAAAGAGCATCAAAAGGATGGTTCGAATGTGCAGGCCTATGGCCCGAGCATGCTTCCGACAATAGGTCCGATGGCTACCTTTTTATTGGCCGAAAGGAACTCCCCACGTTTTGGTAAAGTTGAGCGCGGGGATATTGTCGTTGTGCAGTCACCTGAAAACCCTCAAAAGTTCATAGTCAAGCGCTTGCTTGGATTGCAGGGTGATAGTGTCACATTCCTTGTGGATCCTAAGAACAGTAATAAACGCAAGACTGTAGTGGTACCATTAATTTCTCATACACATTCTTCAATGTTGGTTGATTCAGAAGGATTTTTTTAAGTGATTTTGATATTTCGATGATTTTGAACTTTTCGAATTTGTTAATCTGTATCTTCCTGGATGGTTATGATGATTGTTTCTGTGGTGTGCTTGCCTCTCTTGCTTAGGTCCCCAAGGGACACGTTTGGCTAGGGGGAGATAACATATATAATTCCAGGGATTCAAGATATTTTGGTCCTGTTCCTTGTGATCTTCTTCATGCCAGGGTCTTCTGGAGGGTAAGTTCTATTCTTCCATCATTTTTCTGTGTTCCCTCACTTTTTCTCTACTGTTTTTCGCCACTAAACTTCTATTTATTTTGCCCCCAGGTATGGCCACTTGGGGATTTTGGACCCATGGGTAAAAACTGATCGAAGATTTCAGCTTTGTGAAGCACAGTTCCTTAGCAATGTTACCGCTCTTTTTTGTTCAATTCCTAAAGGTTTATACTCGCCTGAGTTTCATTTTAACTCACGAAGTGCCATTTCACCTATTTGGAGCTGTAAAACTCGTTGTTCCTATAAGATGAAAGATGAAAGGCAGTGACGTGTGACATGGTTCAGGAATTGTGCATCAGAATAAACACGGAAATACCTGCAGCGAATTATTTTCAGTAGTATAGCACATTCTTTTATATGTATGTGGTAGGATTAGCCTATAAAGTTTGGTGGAAGAGCATTTGATGTCCTACCCATTGAAGAAGCTGGTTGTTAAAAATGAGGAGGTCCACGCATAGCTAGCATTTTATCAATCTCAGTATGAAGCGTTTTTATGCACCACTTTTAGTGTTCTGTTTATCTCATGAGGGAGAGTTTTGTAAATCTCAAAAGAGTATTTAAAAAAGATGTTTTTACACAAATCTAAGCAAAACTCCTCTCAAGATAAAATCATTTCCAATTTAATAACTCTGACATGCCCTGAGGCTTTGATGAATGAAGACCATGACAAAAACTGATGCTGGGGAATCTCCAACTTGAGATTTTAGGTATTTTTTTTTCACGGGAAGACGTTCAAGGCTTGAACCACAAGATTTTGAAACTGTGATTCCATTTACTCTGAATTTTTAGCTGTCGTTATAGTAATGTTCCAATTTGGCTACTACTTCTGGTTCTATTTATAAAATCTCATTTGTATTTTATAAATAAAATTTTATAATTAGGTCTAGGAGTGGAGGTAGTATTAGTTATGATATAAATTTTTCAGGATGGAAAACTACATTCTATAGATGGAAACAACATGCATTTTGGCCCAAAAGAGAGAAAAGGAAGCTACGTATATTTTTTTAAGGGCTTGCTCGTGATGCATCATCAACAGAAACAAACAATGGATTATTATTTTGTTGTTAATTAACGCTTATCACTTTGAATATCGCCTGGTAAAAATTTTAGGGCTCCTAACTTTTAAATGTACTATTAAATAGAAATATATCTTTCCTTTCGTCTAAAAATAAAGAAATAGTTAATTTTATCAAATCATTAACTATAGAATTTTTTTCAGGCTAAAATACAAAAAATTCTTCAAATTTTGAATCAGTTGCGCATTTCCTCTTTAATCTTTAAAAATTTAAATTAAGGATCCAGATATTTCATTACCATAAAATTATTATTAAAATTAATTAGTTTTAACATGTCATAATTTTTTATATTTTTATTATATACCATTTTATTTAAAATAATAATATTTGGCGTTGACATGTAAATTTGAATATTTTCTAATTTTTTATTTAAAAAAGTACATTGTAAAATAAATATTTTAAGTATTTTTTGAGTATTTTGTATTTTTTAGCATTTTATTTTAAGTATAAATACATATAATTACTTGCCAATTGCTAAATATTATTTTTTTTAAAAATTGAAATAATATATAATAAAAATAAAAAATTTATATTACATCATCAAAACATTAATATGCTTAACAGCAGGAGAGTTGATAGTCAAAATATAAAACATTAGAATCATTAATTTAAATGTTGGGAATAATATTGGAGGTAACTATATTTTTTTAAATTTTTAATTTGATATTTATGTGTTTTTTTTCCCTCTTAAGTAAATCATTATGTGTTTTTTTCTCTTAAGTAAATCATTTGATTTTTTTTTAACAACACTAACTCTAATAACTTTGTTCTATTAGTATTTTTAATCTGTATGTAAGGATTAATGATGTTAGTAGGAAAAAAAAACTAAAGATTTAATTAAAAGGAAAAACCTATAGGTATCAAATTAAAAATTAAAAAAAGTACAGATGCCTCCAAAATAGTTCTTTTTTTAAATGTTTACAGATCAGGGACGTAACATGCAACTAATCCAAAATTTATGAGAGTTCTGTGCATATTAATTTTTTTATACTCCTCCAATGCTAAATATAAAATTCTTATATTAGTGTGTATAAGAATCTTATGTTTAAGACCGTTCAAAAGAGCGTAAAAGTTCAGAGAAAGTAATAAAAATTACCAGCGGCGAATAAGCAAAAGTCCCGAAGCATTAAAAAGGAATAACAATAAAGTTCAGCTGAAAAAGAAAGGAATCATGGTTGTATTTCTACTTAAAAAAAAAAAAGGAAAGAAAACAGATTAAAAAAAAAAAAAAAACAGAAGATGGAAGGATCAATAAGCCGGGTTGACCGCCACGAAAAGGTTGGTTACGGTTACCATTTTCCCAGCCCAACAGCTCGTCATTTTTTTTTTCATTTTACCTTTTTAGCCCCCCGCCCCCCGAAGGCTTGAACGAAGTTTCCTCTCCCTTCCTTCCTTTGTCAGTCCGCTGCCCCTCACTTTCAGTCTCTCCCTTCCTTCCTCTACCAGTCTGCCCTCTGCCGCCCCTCACTCTCAGTCTCACAGGCTCTCACCCTCGTCTCTCATTCACCTTCACAATCGCGACTCGTCGCTGCCACCCTGCTCTCTAGCTCCCGACCTCGGCGTTAGCGGCGGCGGCGGACTCGACGCTCTGTCTCTGCTTAAGCTTGGCGCGACGTGACTCCTCTCTTCGGCGTCCCAATCTTTCAATCTCCGTTAGCTGATGCTTCCTCGTCCTAATCCCTCTCTTCCCTTTGTTTTTGATTCATTTCCACCGTTTCGAACTCGTGAATTTAGTGGAGACCCTGTTAGTGTCCCCCAATCAAGCCAAGAGTTCGAGTGGCTTTCTCATCCTTCTTTACGCTGTATTGGGATAATTTGGATTGTATTTTTATACAATGGTTCTTCCTTTATTATAAGTTTAAATAAGAAATAAATAATAAATGATATTTTATAAAAAAGAAAATGACAGTAAAATACCATGTGAATTTCAAAAAGACAAATAAGGCACATGAATAAGCAAAATGACAAATAGGGCACTGGGTATCAATTTAAAATTTAGATTTTTGGCCTAATGACCAAATTGTCCTGTCTGAAAGTGAGAGAAAGCAAAGAGGAAGACGCTGATGAAACACGGGAAGAAGGAAAGAAGAATGTTGGAAATGCCATTATCTTACTCCTCCGCATCACTATTCTTTAGACATTGTTGATTTGGTGGGTTTTGATTGTGGGAAAGAGGATTTGTAGTAAGAGAGGGAGTGAACCTTTGGGATTACATGATTAGAAGTTGATGGCGAGATTGGATTATTCATTTTTGTGGCTGCTTCATGGTGAAATAGGAACAGGATTATTACATTTGAGGGTTTATATTCAGTATTCGGTGAATGATGAAGCAGAAATCAGAAAACAGTGGTAAGCAATTACGTAATATAACTGCTGTCATATGCCTGTTGGTTTTTGGTAAATCTCATTACGTGAATGGTAGATTTTATTATACATATAGTTAATTATGAAAGTTAATACATTACCCTGTCTGAAAGAACTCGTACTCTCTGAGATTGTCGTCGTCGAAGAGGTCGCTGAAGTAACACTAACTGTGATAAACAAGTAGGAAGCTTAAATATTATTCTTCATAGAGCATTTTCGATGGGTTCCCACAGCTTAAAATGTTATTGCCTAGCATTCCTCTTTTTGGTTCTGTCTCTGTTCTTCGCATAAAACCATTTTCAAAGAATGTGAAGTTGTCTGATTTTCTAGTATTATTAAACCATTTGTCCTGAATTTTACAAAACACATATTGTGATTTACAACTTTCGTAGTGAAAGTGACCACTTTGTTAATGGGTTTTGTAACCTATTTTTAGGAGATAAACAACTTGTTTGTAAAAACTAATAAAATTCCATGCTAAATTTGACAAAACATATAGTGGCATTTACAATTTCCGTAGTGAAAATGACTACTTATTCAATGGGTTTTGCAACTTGTTTTCAGGGGATGAGCAACTTGTTTCTAAAAACTAATAAAATTTCACGCTAAATTTGACAAAACACATAGTGAGATTTACAACTTTCGTAGTGAAAATGATCACTTCTTCAATGGGTTTTGCAACATGTTTTCAAGGGATTGGCAACTTGTTTCTAAAAACCAATAAAATTCCATGCTGAATTTTATAAAACATATAGTAAGATTTACATTTTTTGTAGTGAAAATTACCACTTCTTAAATGGGTTTTGCAACCTCTTTTTAGGGGATGAGCAACTTGTTTCTAAAAATCAATAAAATTTCACGCTGAATTTTACAAAACATACAGTGAGATTTACAACTTTTATAGTGAAAATGACTACTTTTTAAATGGCTTTTGCAATCTGTTTTCAGAAGATGGGCAACTTGTTTCTAAAAACTAATAAAATTTCATGTTGAATTTTACAAAACATATAATGGGATTTACAACTTTTGTAGTAAAAGTGACCGCTTTGTTAATAGGTTTTGCAACATATTTTTGGGGATAAGTAACTTACTTTTTACCACCAATAAAATTTGACGCTGAATTTTACAAAACATATAATGTGATTTACAATTTTTATAGTGAAAGTGACCACTTCTTCAATGGGTTTTGTAAACCTGTTTTCACTGGAAAGGTAACTTGTAAGCATAAATAAATCATTCAGTGAACGTGCACCTGAAGTACGTCACAATAAACATTGAACTATTAACTTTCATAATTAACTACATGTATAATAAAATCTACCATTCACGTAATGGGATTTACCAAAAACCAGCAGGCATATGACAGTAGTTACATTACGTAATTGCTTGCCACTGTTTTCTGATTTTTGCTTCATCATTCACCGAATACTGAATATAAACCCTCAAATGCAATAATCATGTTCCTATTTCACCATGAATCAGCCACAAAAATGAATAATCCAAATCCCGCCATCAACTTTTACTCACTCACGTAATCCTACGGTTCACTCCCTCTCTTACTACAAATCCTCTTTCCCACAACCAAAACCCACAAAATAAACAATGTCTACAGAAAAGTGATGTGGAGGAGTAAGATAATAGCATTTCTAACATTCTTCTTTCCTTCTTCCCGTGTTTCATCAACGTCTTCCTCTTTGCTTTCTCTCACTTTCAAACAGGACAATTTAGTCATTAGGTCAAAAATCTAAATTCTAAATTGGTACCTAATGTCTTATTTACCATTTTACTTATTCAGGTACCTTATTTGTTTTTTTGAAATTCACATAATATTTTGCTGTCGTTTTCCCCTTATAAAATTATATCATAAGTTCTTGGTGTACGGTCTTCGAACGCTCGTTTACGGGATGGGAAAACATTACAGGGAGACGGGGTTGAAACTTGTAAGGCACTAACAAATCCTTCGCCTGCTGAGGAGAAGAGAACGGATCCTCTTGCCGCAGTCCCTGGGCTTCCGACTCCGGCGGCGGTGTCCTCAAGTGTGCGTGGTCTGTTGTTGACGGTGAACAAACAAAGCTTTGATATTCTGCGTGCATAGGAGTTTCTGGGCCTTTCAGTCAGAGCGAGAAGTAGGGCAACGATGGTTTGGAGAAATCTGGAGCAAATTGGACTCACCCCCAAAGAATTAGGGCATATGGCATTCTCACTTGTCAAAATCTCCTGTTGCCTTCATGTCACTGCCACCTATCTCATAGACCCTGCTATTGTAAGCTCTCTCCCCCCGCCCCTCCTTGTTTGGATTATATTTCAGGATAAAGAGCATCAAAAGAGCTGGTTCGAATGTGCAGGTCGGTGGTCCTAGCATGCTTCCGACAATGGGTCCGATGGCTACCTTTTTATTGACCGAAAGGAACTCCCTGCGTTTTGGTAAAGTTGAGCGCGGGGATATTGTCTTGGTGCGGTCACCTGTAAACCCTCGAAATTTATTGACCAAGCGCTTGCTTGGATTGGAGGGTGATAGTGTCACATTTCTCGTCGATCCTAGGAACAGTGATAAATGCGAGACTATAGTGGTAACATTAATTTCTCATGCACATTTTTCAATTTTAGTTGATTCAGAAGGATTATTTGAAGAGTGATGTTGATATTTCGATGGTTTTGAACTTCTCGAATTTGTTGGTTTGTATCTTCGTGGTTGGTTATGGAGATTTTGTTTGTTGAGTGTTTGCCTCTCTTGCTTAGGTTCCTAAGGGGCACGTTTGGGTACAGGGCGATAACATATATAATTCCAGGGATTCAAGACAATTTGGTCCTGTTCCTTATGGTCTTCTTTATGCCAAGGTCTTTTGGAGGGTAAGTTCACTTTCTTTGTGTTCCCTCACTTTTTCTCTACTGTTTTTCGCCACTAAACTTCTATTTATTTTGCCCCTAGTTATGGCCACTTGGAGGTTTTGGACCCCTGGGCAAAAACTGATCGAAGAATTCAGCTATGCGAAGCACAATTCCTTAGCAATATTACCATTCTTTTTTGTTCAACTCCTAAAGGATTATACTGGCCTGAGCTTCGTTTTAACTTACGAGGTGCCGTTTCTCGTCCTTGGAGCTGTAAAACTGGTGATTCCCATAAGATGAAAGGCTGTGAGGTGGGACATGGTTCAGTAACTGTGCATCAGACTAAGCACATAAACGCCTGCAACGAGTTATTTTCAGCAAGATTGCATATTCTTTTATATGTATGCTAGGATTAGCTTATAAAGTTTCGCGGAAGAGCATTTGATGTCCTAACATTTAAATTGTTGTCCTATTGAAGAAGCTGATTATTAAAAATGAGGAGGTCCGGGCACAGCTGGCATTTTATTAATCTCAGTATGAAATGTTTTTATGTACCACTCTTACTGTTCTGTTTATTTCTCAGTCAAAAATCAGACATGCCTGGAGGCTTTGATGAATGAAAACCATGACAAGAACAGATGTCGGGGAATCTCCATTTTGAGGTTTTAGGTATTTTTTTCATGGGAAGATGTTCAAGGTATTCTGAAACTCTGGTTACCATGTATTCTGATATTTAAGGTGTAGTTTTCGTCAGTTCAGAACTAGGTATTAAGTAAAAACGTGCTAGACAACCTCTGTGTCATTAACCTTCAAAGACTGTCAAACTCCATACACATGTGAGCTCCCTTATACCACCATGATCCTGATGTCCCACAAGATGCAAATTCCAAAACGGACATTCTCCAATACAAGATCTTTTTGCTTCAGAGAGCTCCCCACAGCCTCATTGATTTCTTTGCTTCGCGAAGGTTTGGTTTCAGATTGGATTTTCTATGCCTAGTTCTGCAATATGCACCAGTTCCATCTTGAGTCAGTGCTCTTGGACCTTTTGTGTATCAAGATATTGGCTCCTGAATTAGTTGGGGGATTTGTTATTCATTGTGGTTCGAGTCTCAGTGATGAAGGGGCGAGGCTTCACTACCTGGCGCTTTTGACAATGTTTATTCCAGCAGTGGAGCAAGCTATTTGTGATTTTTTTGGGTTGAGTTGGTTTGATTTGAGTGGGTCGAGCCGCTTGTTATGCTTATTTCGACATTATCCTGTCTGGAACTAGAGCAGTTTTATTTATTTATTTATTTTTGCCAGAATAGAGCAGTTTTAAATGAAGTGACTGTTTCTGTATAATCCTGTCCATGTATGAATTTAATTATTCTAATTGAAAGTTTAATATTTTTCCCCAAAAAATGATTGGTGTATTTTAGAAAAAGTTAATTAGCTACCATATAAATGTTTGAGACTACAAAAGTACAGGGGAACAACATGCATATTGGGCCGGGAGACAGAGGGAGAGAAGGAACCTGCATGTATTTTTATCAGAGCTCGCTCATGGTGTATCAGTTATCACCAACAGAGACCAACAATTTAAAATATGGTTTAGTTATTAATTAACGCTTCTAATTTTGAATGTCGCCTGATAAAAAATTCATTGCTCCCAAAAATTAAATGTACCATCAAATAGAAAATATGTCCTTTATTTCATTTTAAAAATTAAAAATGGCTAATTCTTTTTTTTTTAACCAGAAAAGGCTAATCCTATTAAATCATGAACTACAGATTTTTTTTATAATTTTAAAGTTCAAAAGAGCCTAAAAGTTCAGAGAAAATTAAAAAAAATAAATAAATTACCAGCGGCAAACCTGGTACAACTTAAAAAAGAAAGCAAGAAAGAAAGAAAGGAAAGGTGCTTGGTTTTGTAGCCCAAAAAAAAGAGAAGAAAGAAGGAAAACAGATTTAAGAAAGAAAGGAAAGATGGAGGATCAATAATTAGTCTCTCATAATTAAAGAGCTTCAGGTTGTGATTAATTAATAAGAAAGCCAACATATCTCTTAAACCAAAATATGCATTACTCTCAATCCCCCATCTCTTTGAACAGCATTTGCACCTTTTAAAAAGGCATAACCAGATTTTCCATCCTTTTACATATTTTATATTCAGATTTAAACTTGGCAAAAAATTTTAAATATCATATGTATTTTTGCCAACGTTATAAATATTATATCGTAAATTCTTAATGCTGCATAGTATACTAATATCATTTTGATCATTTTATAAAAAATAATAATGAAGTTTGAAGGAGGCCGCCATATTTATAAATGATTCATAAACAAAAGTCGACTTTATTATTATTATTATTATTATTATTATTATTATTATTATTATTATAGATATCACACTATGGTCGAACAAGTCCTCCGACCAAAAATGAGCTCAATTAATGCCCCCATTTCACATTCTCCAACCACCTTCCTTATTCATCACCCCTTTTCCTTCTCCAACAAGACAGCCACAGAATAGTCAGAAGACAGACATAGAAACAGCCTTATAAATTTGTTAGTTTCCATTTTTGATCTCGCCGCCATCCGAAGCACTGGCCCCATCATCATCATGATCACTTTCAGCAACATTATTTTCTTCGTTCAACTGTAATTTCTCTGCAAGTACCAGCAAAGACGACGCAGCCTCCATTTCTCTCTTCCGCAGCTTCACGTCTTCCCTGAGTTTCTCCAGCGACCGCTTGAACCCCTCCAGCTTGCTCAGATCATCGGGACCGCTCTCAGGTCCCAGCCCGTACTTGGCCATCTTCTCCTCTATCGCCTTGTCCAGCCTCGCGCCCTTTTTCTTCTCTTCCTCCAGCTGCCTCGTCAGATTCATTAGCCGCTTGTTCAGTTTCTCCGCTTTTCGAGAAGCTTTCTTCGAAGAAGAAGAAGAAGAGGTCCCACCTGCCGGCCATTTCGCCTCCTCCTCGTCTTTGTCTTTGTCCTCGTCCTCGTCTTGGAGGTGCCGGAGAAACCTCTGAGTCACCACGTCGACGGACGGATGGCCGAAGGAGAAAGGTTTGCCGCCCGGCGAGAACACCACAATGGCGAGCTCGGCGCCGCACAGGATTGCTAGCTCGTTCGCTTTCTTGAAGAGCCCGTTCCGGCGCTTTGAGAACGTCACCAACCTCGACGCTGCGTCCTGCACCATCTCCATCTTGATTTTCCGACGACCCATTGGCTCAGTGACCACTTTCTTCTTCTTCTTCTTCTTCTTCTCTTTGACTTTGAGGATGGAGGAATGTATGGTATATATACACAAAGAAAAGACGCTGAAATTAATGTTTCTAATATGAGATTATTATTACTATTTATGGCCATTTTGGCTATGATGGTATTGGTTTAATTACTTTTCCCCTACTTGCATAGGTTGAAGAATCAACACTAAATATGGTTTGGCATTTTTCAATTCAGTTGTCTTGGATTTTGGAAAATAATAAAGTTGGTATGCCTTTATCGGTTTTTTTTCCTTCAACAGCTTAAAGTGGAGAACTGCAGGATTTTTATTTTTTTGGCTTTTCATTATGGTTCAGTATATACATTGCACAAATATTTAGTATTCCACTTTTGAGGTCTTTAAAAATTGGATATGTTTCTGTGCAACTCGTGTAAAGGATTCGTCTGGGCTGCCATTATTGGTCATGGAACCATGAGGACAGGGTGAAAGCATGCATGCAAAAAATTAAGGGAGTAGAGGCTGCTTTGTATAAAAACTATCTTATCACTTATTCAAAAGAGTTTGAACATTTTTATAATTAAATATAAATCATGTGACTTTCTTTCGTTGAAGCAAATAAATCTAGGGATCTTTGTGTTAGGAAAGAGGAATAAAATTAAAATGCTATCTTTCATCTTTAATATAAGAGCCAGATAACCAATTTGAGAAAATTAAAGTACTGTTTGGTATGAGGAAAATTGATAGAAGTGAAAGGAAAGAAAAATTTTAATGAGCTTTATTTAAAAAATTTAGAGAAGTGGTGTTTTAAAACTTTAATAAAGAGAAAAAACAATATAAAAAAGTAACAAAAATTAATTAAAAGCTTTTAACCTGATTTTTTAATTTTTTAAATCAACCTTATCAAAAAATTTTCTCCCTGGCTCTCCCCTCTCCTCCATTTGCCTCATACCAAATGGATCCTAAAAAAATTAGTTAAGTTAGTTACTTGTAACAAATATGTGTTAATTTTTCTGAATTATTCTTATTCAATCATAGAGTACATTGGAACAACCTTTGGTTGTGGAAACACATTATAATCAGTAAGGATATTTTGAAAAAAAATACATTATAAATTTGAGAGACAAAATAGATTGAAATCTTATATTTAGGATATACAACTAGCTCTTATATATATTTAGAACCGAAAGTAGTGTTAAATTTCATAGAAAATGTCTTTTTTAACTAGGGCCATGGCTTAGTAAATTGAATTACTCCTCTCATCACCCGAGTTGTTAAATTTTAAGATAGAGTTAATGAGATTTAAGATTTTTCATAATATTAATAAAAAATATTAAAAGTGATCTATAAAAATAAAATCAGCATGATAATTTGTCGGACTATTAAGAATATGTTTACTTTTGTGTGTAAAAAACAAAAGTTTATATCTGTCCTCTAAAGGCAAAGACTATGACGTTACTAATTAGTTGTATGGATTTTTTGTCTTAAGAATGTTTGAATTTCTCTCCTTTCATTTCTATACACATTTCAGTATCTTATTTGTCAAATATGTGTAATAAAAAATTAATTTCTTTTATTTGTATTATAAAGGTCTAAACTATAACCTATTAACCATTCACAGCATATTATTTTTCATCATTTTTGAGTTAAAAATAGCTTTAGAATTTTGAGACTTTTGATAGATGGAAAAAGCTTTTTATCCCTCTAAAGTTTGTGACATAAATCTCTTATCGCAACATTTTGAAAAGCATAGTTTGATGAAAATGCTTATTTTTCGAAATTGCAGTATGGATTAATATTCCTAAAATTGTTAGTTCGAGTTGACAATCAAAATAAAAGAGAACTCATTCTCATAAATGCTGCATTAAGGGGGTCAGAGGAGGCCCTCCTACCTTCGCATGCATTGATCTGCGTGCACTCACATCCGCTTATAAATCGTATTTTGATGTTTTAGTCAACGCATTCCCTTCGGTCAAAATTCAGTCTGCATTTAATTGTAATATGATCTGATTAATTAATAGGGTAAAATTATTTCAGATCGAGTCAACTAATTTATAAAACTTTAGAAAATAAGGTAAATAAGCTGTTTATTACTTTATTATCAGAGTGGTGACGCATCTTAACCTTTTTATTAATATTCTGTCTTTATTGTCTGTTAATTAGAGTGGAAGCTTTTTGTCTTAAATATAAATCACTTGCCGGATATTATATAATCATTTTTCAATTTTATTATTATTTAATTTTTAAAAAAATAAAAATGTGAGAATGATTTTTAAATATAAAAAGAAAATTTTTTAATAAAGGTAAATTTAAATTTTTAATGAATTTAATGTATTTTTTTATTATATGAAAAACTGAAACTGTATTATATAAAAAAGTGCGTTGCTTTCGGGAAAAAAAAATTCATCATTTTACAAAAAGATAAAAAAGATTAAATGCGAGAAGAGTGTGAAATTAAAATTGTAAAATTAATAAGGTTAAATTTGAAAAAAAATTAAAACAGGAGACAAAGAAAATTAATATCTTATATTTCATATTAAAACAGATATTAGATCTTTTTTTTTTAAAAAAAAACAGATTCTTTAATAATATATATTTTTTAAAATCAATAATTGCAAGCATGTAATTAATGCAAATACTGGGAGTATACGCAACAAGAAAGATTATTATGATTGGGAATTTATAAAGGGTTAAGGTGCGTCCAACACCCCGAACTATTTACCCAGGTGCGTCCAGTGGCCTAAAGTAATTTTGGGTGCATCCAGTGTCTTAAACTAATTAAAATGGTGCGTTCATATCCCAGACTAACAGAAATGTTATGTTTAACTGTTACTTTCCTGACTCAGCGTAAAGTTGACCCCAAATATTCTAAATGGCAGACATATGGACATTTGATGTATATTATTTTTACTTAAAATTGAATTTATTTCCTTCCTCTTCTTCTAAATAAATTGACTTTTGAGTAAGAATAATACACATCGGGTGCCTATGTGTCTGCCATGTAGAATATCTGGGGTCAACTTTAAGTTGAGTCAGGAAAGTAACAGTTAAACATAACATTTTTGTTAACCTGGGATATGGACGCACCATTTTAATTAGTTTAGGAGACTGGATGCACCCAAAATTACTTTAGGCCACTGGACGCACCTGGGTAAATAGTTCGGGGTGCTAGACACACCTTAACCCATTTATAAATAAAAAAAATTCCACTAAAAGCACGCTATATGGCTAAATCATCAAATGGCACGAGCACGACCTTCATTATTTCCTGTTTTACATTCCAATTCCACAGGTCTCTAAAAGCTTATTCTGATTTGAAGGGCATCTACAAAACAGGGCATTAAAGATATCATAGGCCTAAGCTTTCGGCTGATTCCAAATATTTGAGAAACTTTTTTTTCTTTGCCAACCAAATATTTGAGAAACTAATTAACTATGGAGTGTGGACTAAGTTACACGAATGCATGCATATCCACCGACAATATATTCCTACGAATTAAAGTTAAGTATTTTCCCCCACCACACACAAACTGTCTAAATGACACTATTATTTATACTACTTATGGTCCTAACTATAAAATCTCATTTGTAAATTATAAACAAGATCTTATAATTATGACTGAAAATAATCTATATGTATGGATGAGATTTTGGATTTAAATCGAACATTAACACATTAAATGGATCGAATGGTTAAAAAAAAAGGGTCTTCTGACATATGCAAATCAATATTATTGAAAGCAGTTGTGTCTAAAATTTGTTCATTAATGGTGCTTATATTTGACAGTGGAGGCAGTAACCTCCAAAAAAAAAAAACAAAGAAAGAAACTTTCAATCTATCAATATATCATTATGGAGTGATTGGCTCAACTGGAAGGAGTTGTTCCAACTTAAACTAAAAGTAACAGATTTGATTACTGTCCATATGGATCCTATTATGATTTAATTCCAATTAGTTTGATTTGTAATTTTCTGAAGGTTTGGCCACGATACTGGGTGCTCTTTGGGAAAATGAAAGGCTTTCAATCTTATCATATTCTCTCTTTTCTTCTCTCAATGAACAGATGATGAGTTGGTGAGATCAGAATCATTTGCTTTTGCAGTTATCGGAGTGAAAGTGCCGAAATATTGGCCACAGGAGTTTTATAAGATATTGATGATCTGGTAGTCTGATGCAGATTCTCCATTCTTCATTTGAATTTCAAAGCGCATACTTAGCATTCACACATTCGAATGACAATTCATCAAAGCTTTAATGCCATTCAATGGTGCTGCTTTTTCCCGTAACTACAAAAACTTAAAACTATCAACTCAGAATAAAACACAACGCACAAAACATGCAGCACTCACTGATTCTTCCGAGTTCATGATGAGGCTGCTTTATTATTATTAGGATTAATATAATTTTTGTCATTCAAGTTTACACTCATTTTTGTTCCAATCTTTTAAATTTTAAACCATAAGTTCTGATCTCTCGAATGGTAAAATTGTTTAAGATTTTATTGGGTTGTAGGAACCAATATTATAAATGAAAATAAACTTGAGAGACCAAAACCAAAATAAAGACAAATTTGAGAGACAGCGTTAACCGTTTTCAGATTTAACTTCCAATATTATCATTAGTTTTTGTTGTTGTCGCCATTCTTCGTTCAACAGAAAGATTATTTTATTGCGTTTTACTACATTTGATGAACACGTAAATTGTTGGCCCAAAAAATCTATGTAAGAGATTTTATTTTTTATTTAAAAAGTAATATATTTCATTAAAAAAAAAACTCGAAAAACAGGCTAGTTTTCTAGACGCACGTTCTAATCCCAGTTCGCTGCGCACATATTTAGGGCATTTGGCGGTTATCCAGTACCCACGTTTGCACACAGACGCCGGAGGAGTGAGGACCTTCTTCTGATCTTTGACCATTTGACCTCACCAAAAAACGCGGTTCCACTCGGCTCGGTCCCCTCCTCAGCCACAGCAAAATGACCCTAATACCCTCAACAACTGTTATATTATTCTCCCAGGTCATCTGATATTCGCCTCACCATAGAGACGCCATTCTAGAAAAGCAACGTGTTGGCTAAGAAAATTAGCCCAACCTCGAATCTACCTTTATTTCAACCTTCAATATAAAATCCCACCACCCCCTTCTTCCTCTCTCATCATTCCTTCGTCTTCTTCAACACAACACAATGCGAACTGTTCAACATTCTAGAGAGAGAGAGAGAGAAACCGTGACTGGTTCAGATATGGAAGGCAAGCATCATAAGGTTTCCAAGGTTGGGTTCTTCAAGAAGCTGAGCAGACACTCGTGGAGGTTGAAGTTTTATTGGTCTTCGTTGAGATGGAAGAGGGTTCATTTGCCTGTTTCGTTCATGGATGATGTTGTCTTCAAGATTGTTTCTCTGTTTGAGGCCATTGTCTTGGTCCTCTCCCTCGGCCTTTTCTACCTTTTCTTCGGCTGCCACTTCTGATTCTCCTCAATTATGAATTCTGAATTCCCACTTGCTCTGTACATCCCTCTGTTTTCGTTTCTTTTATTTTTGTTGTGCTCTGTTCTCTGAGTTCCAACTTGGGAACCTATCCAGTGAATATATATATATATATATATGAAAGAAAGAAAATGAAAGTCTTTATCTTCTTCTTCTTCTTGTTTTGTGTAATCATGGACGATTCCCCAGGAAAAAAAAGGAAGAAAATTTTAATAGTTTGAACTGGCTTTTGGAAGCAACCAGAGCTCTCAGATCAGCAGAGATCTCTCTATCTGCTCTGCTTCTTCATTCCGAATATGGATTATGAATTGGCATTGCTTTTTCTTCGTCTTCCTCTCTGCGAATGTGAGACTGCTTTGTGATAGTGACAATTGCGTTGCAGAGATGGGGTTTTTTCATTGACGAAAATGAACGGACTTCCAAATTGGGTGCGCATCTTAAATTTTGATCCAACTACATATATTTTTAACTAGTTTCATTTCTCACGGCTGCTATGTTATAGCTAGGTAATGCACATTAGGGAATTGTTCTGGATTCACCCCCTCTAGCTCAAATAAAACAGAGTTATATTTATGCATATTTTACCGATAAAAATTAAAAATGCTGTCAAATACAAGTATATCATATATAAAGGTACTAAAGAAAGAGAAATGACAGAACAGAGCAGTTATTGGAGTAATTATTCTTGGAAAGCCGAGTAGTAAAAGTATCTATTAAAGAAATTAAATCAATTACAGAAAAGATAGTTAAAGTTTTAACTTTTAAGACACATTCAAAAAAAAAAAAAAGTACTCATCGCGAAGACTAATAAATTAAAAAGACAAAAAAAAAATCTGTGGATGTAGGACATGTAAGGATGATATTCCATTCTTTCCAGGGTAGACGTGTTGGGCAACCAAATAAATGGCAATTCATCATCTTGGTGTAACCATGCTTATCTGCTAAAACCAGACCATGTATCAGGTTTAATTGAGTTAATTTTATTGTTAGGACTATATATCTCCTTCTCTTTTAATTATAAGATTCATTTAAAAGCTTCGACTATAATATAGGGTTAAGTAAAATTTTGACCTTGTCATTTCTCAAGTATAATTTTGCTCCTAGTCTTTTAACAGTACAATTTTATCCCTGATTTTATTTTTCAGGTGCAATTTTACTTTTAATTTTTTTTCTTGGGTGCAATTTTACCTCTAATCTTTAAGTGTAATTTTGACCATGAGGGGCAAAATTACACAAAAGAAAATATTATGGTCAAAATTGCACCACTAAAAAGATCATGCGTAAAATTACACTTAAAAAATAAGATTAAGATTAAAATGACACCTTAACCCTAAAATTTAAAGTCGAATTCTTTTTTATCTCTTTGATAGAAATATTTAAAAAAATATATTTTTTAATATATATTAACTATAAATAATTTTTTTAACTTTTCCTTTGAATTCTACAAATTAGTTGAAATAATTTTATATTTAAAATGTACTCCTTTTCTTTTCGTAAGAAATAATTGTAGAATATGTGATATTTTCTTTTATAAGAATTACTTAAAAACTGTCTCAAAATTTGTTCGTTAATTTTTTATTTTACTTCCATTTAATTACTTATATTATTGAATTTAATTCTTATACATTCTTTTTCCCCTACACATTTTTTCTTCTACATGAATCAGGATATTTTTGAATAAAAATAGGCTACAAATTTTAAATATTTATTTTCTCTAATTAATTTTAATCAACATTTAGAACAAAATAATTTGGTTAGGTGTATCTTATAAAAATTAACGGACAAAGTAATGAAGTATGCTTCTTACTTGCTAGCCAATAATTTAGAAGAAGTGGATTGGATGAAGCCGAGTCCATATTTGCAAGCAGGTGGACCAACCTCTCAACACTATAAACTTAATTAATGTATGTATTTTAATTGATTAAACTAAACCTGATCTTAATGGATGATTAAGTGTGCAATTAGCAACGAGCGACGTCGTTTTCCTTTTGGCAAAAATTAAAAAAAATTATTTTTCCCCCCCTAAAAAACGTCGCAGTCCACAGCGCGGTGTCAGGCTGACGTCAAAAGCAGAATCTTCCCGTCACTTTCTTCGCGATAGTGACGAATGTGATGAAGAAAGCTTCTCGCTTTTACAAGGAGGATCGTCTCCCCTCACTCTCGCTCACGTTAAATACTTGGGGGCTAAGGTTTTTTTTTTTTTTTTCAAATATCATTGGCCTTCCAAAAACATTCATTCAGTCCTCACGGTTTCAGAATTTCAAATGGGAACTTCATTTTTTAAAATTTTCCTGTAACATCAATTTTTTTAATTGTAAGTCAACACGGCACTTTGTGTGTGTGTATATATTTGTGTCGATATATATTTTTAACTTGTTTTTTTTTTGGCTAACAGTGGTCTATATTATTTACTTCAGTCTTGTAATTTACCATTTTACCCCATAGTATATCCATCATCTCAAGTTTTTTAATTGTAGCTGGTCAGGTAATCTATATTTTTTAATGTAAGTTTATAATTAAATGATAATGTAAAATAGAACTTGGCATTATAAATATAAGGAAATTAATGTAATTACTGTCATATATATTATATATTATTTCTTTTCATAATTAATTTTAATTTTTCTATTCAATATAATATCTATCAATATATAAATCGTATGTTCAGATACAATATATGTGCAATTAATCATGCCAACAACGCAACTTAATGATAGTACAAATTAAGTTTAACAATAATAAACTATTAATAATTGGATTTAAGGGTAGGGTTAATCTTTCACGATACAAACTAAAAAAAAATTCAAAAACATAACCTTCTTTAATGAATTGTCCCCCAACCCACCCTTAATGGATGATATTTTAAAAATATCTCTATTTAATTAGGAACAGATATATAAAGAATAAAAATTTTTCTAGACAAAAACAACGTTTTTTTTTGCATGTTTTTGGCGATTGACAAGAAGGGTGTATACTAGTCTCACGTTTGACCTTTGACGATCTACGATAAATCCTTCGTTGGCTTTGAATTGGTCAAACAACAAAGGATGCGCATCTATATTTCTCCCACTCTGTTTTAAACGAAGTTAATAGTCTTCAATGTTTTGGCCCAAAAAAAAAAAAAAAGTCTTCAATGATCATCTTAGAAGTCCATCCCCTTCATACGGATGAGCTTCATTGATTCACATGCATGTCTCTATGTTTTTCTATCATGATTTTCTCATTATATAAAAAGGTCTTAAAATTATTATCTCGAGTATGATGTCATTTTTTCAAATGGAAGAAAGAAAACTCACATAACTACATACTACCTTTGTTGTTTAATATAAAAACTTATTTGATTTTTATTTTGGTCTTAAATATAATATTTCAATTCACTTTGCTCTCATATTTATATATTTTTTCAAGGTAATTTGTATAATAATGATAGTTTTAACCAATACACTTAATTAGCAAGAATATTTTAAAAAATATAAAATATATTTATTACAAATAACTAACCTAACTAATCTTCTTAATCTATTTAAACTAATTAACTAGTTCTTATATTAAGGATCAGAACTAATGACATAATTCATGACGAGTATAAGCTTTCAAGTGGGGAGCTCTGAAATAATTATATATTAAATCATAAAATTAACTTTTTTGACTTGGTCAAACAAAAATATGTGCTTTTGCACCTCTCTCTTCCAGACTTTTATTGGGCATATGGGCTATAAACAGAATTATCAGACTCGCTTCAGTCAAGAATCATCTGTTGGAAACATGTATATCTCCTTCGTATGATTATCTCAGAATCTGTTTAAAAGAGACAGTTACATGAGAGTGAGATCCTCATAGATGAATCCTACTCACTTCATCTTCCGTATCCTTACCTCTGTCACAAAAATTTCTCCTTCAACCAAAAAAAGTCTGGAAGAGAGATTTTTTTTAAGCACAACAATAGAGTTAAAAGGAAAAACAAAATTCCTAATGTGAATTAAACTACTCACAAAATTCTTTTGTTACAAAGTAAATCAAAAAATAAAATCCTATGTCGCTTCTTTTCCTCTTTGCAGCAGGTTAGTTCATCAGAAATAACTCACCATGAGCATTATTCAGACATGATTAATAAGCGTACCGAATCCATCTTCCTTTGTTTCCTGATCATTTGGATGTTTCTGAACAGCATTTCCGGAAATAGTTCCATCATATCCATATTGCTGCACAATAAGCACAGAAGATTTAGAACCAAAACTGTTGGATGCCAATATGTCCCCTATTGCTCCAAGCTCAGGGCAATCACACCATTCCATGAGACCTGAGAATAACACACAGTTCCTCCCTCTTCCTTGTCCCACTATGTAAAGATGATAATCACCTTGGTCTAGCTCATTTAGTAATTCGGGAATATCCTCACCCACATGAAATTCCTTCTCTGAGTAACTTATGGAGTCTTCATTGTGTATTGCCTTGATTCTAAATAAGTCCACATACTCATCATCCAGATTTTTTTGCTTGGAACTATCCAGAACTGTGGATGATATCCGATTTGATTCCAACTCAACTTCCATACCTGTATGGTATAGCATCCTCACTAATGAGAGGTGAACGCCGGGATAAGTTGCCATTCTCCAGGCAACAGCTAAGGCTTCACGATCATCGGGTCCACCGACGAAGATCATGAGAATACGACAAGTGGTTTTGGATAGTGGGAATACGCCTCGATCAATGAAGATCCCCACAGAACAAGGTGGTTCTTGCATGATATTGTAGTTTATGTCTTTGTATGCACTATTCAACATTTCTAGACAGCCTCCTGTGTTGACCTGCTTGTGAAAAGGGAGGAGGATAAGGTTAGTGTGTTTTTCATTTGCTGTGTTCCATATGTCTTCATGAATGGTTTTATAGCTTGATAGAATATTGAATGTTTCAACTTGAACGGCATCATTTGACCCGGCTAATTCTTGGAAGGTGTTGTTTATGCCTTCGAGCTCAGCTTGTGATTGACTATGGTACTGTGTTCCTAGGGGAGAAACATGTTGGCTCATGTGATCAAGAAGCACGAAAGCGCCACGACTTGTAAGCTCAACAAGGTAAAGTGCACCAACATAGAGAGGGGAAACTCCTGAGGCATGGAAGCATTCAAGGATCTTCACCATGCTACTGGCATGGCGATTGTTATGCACACAGGCCAAAATTCGAAGTTCTGTATCAAGTCTTGAATTTTGTACTGTTCTCATTTTGTTCATCTTACATTGCTTTCTTGGTCTGTAAGCAATATTGGTGATAACTGAAGTTGCTATAGTCATTATCACAACAGCAGTGACTAGAATTGAATAGGATGAAATTGCCAAAATCTGCAAATAACACACATCTGAGTTGATTAGTCATAAAATTAAAGTGGCGTTTGATCAAATGGCACAAGTCAAACTTCAAAATCATCATGGATACCTCTCTGTCCCAACCAATATTGAGCATGATCAGAGCCATGACGCCTTTGGTGTTCATAAGCACTCCAAGACTCAAACCATCTCGAAAAGGAATACCATAAGCAAAAGTAGCGATCAAAGTGCTGAGAATCTTTGGGATGCATAATAAGACAATAACCATAACTGAAAATGTCCAATTTTTGTGAGATAGAGCACTTGTCAAGTCGATTCTCATTCCAGAACCAAAAAACACCAGAGGTGCTAGAACGCCAGAAGCAAAATCATCTGCTGCAGACATCATTACATTAGTGAATCTCCCATGAGGCAGAATCAATCCAAACACAAAAGCCCCAACAATGCCAGAGCCTAGGATGTCTGTAATATATGCACACATCACAGTTCCCATCAGCAGAAACAGTAGCTGATGATCATTCCATTCTTCCCGGTCGGTTTTTTGATCAATAATTGGAGAAATGACAGGACGTACCACAACAATGCAGAAAGTGATGAATGCTATGGTACCCACAACAGTGTACATTGCTCCAGCTCCATGGTTAAGGGTAAATGGAATCACTAACATAAACAGAAGCCAAGAAAAAGAGTCACTAACTATGGCCGCATCTAAGGCTGATCTTCCTAGCTCGGTATAGAGGAGCTTGAGGCTGGCGAGGATTTCAGCGAGCAAGGGAAAACCCGTGACTGTAAGACATATTGACCATAACAAGCAAGCTTTAACTGGATCATTTTCAATGGTTTCATCAATCTGAAGGGTGTAAGTTTTTTGATGCAGAGCAAATATGATCGCTCCCATTACCATTGGAATGATAACACCAGACACGGCAATGCTAAAGGCCTTCTTTGATGCTCGTAGGACGTTGTCTAAGTTCATCTGCAGGCCAGTTAAGAAGGCGTAGAAGATTAAACCTAAACTGCTCATCACGTTAACATCTAAAATCCCTCGAACAGGAAAAAGAAGGTGAAGCATTATCGGTATTTGCCCTAGTATATCCATGCTGAGCATGAAACCGGCCTGCACGTAGATTTGTATCAATCACCCACAAGTCAGAATGCAAAAGAATGATTCTGAGCTCCCTATTTTATTTTATGCAATTCTAACACCAAAATACCCAGAACAAAGGGAGAAAAGGAGGGGGAAAAAAAACAGAGAGATGTTATTAGTGAACAAAGCTGTGAATGCACGCAGATACTTACAATAACTTCAGCAACAAGACTAGGGAGGTGCAAGGGTCTAGCGATGATGATGAAAATGCGAGTGACGAATATGGTCCAAAACAATTGCACGGCCAGAATCGGAAGTTCGGATCCATAGATATCACTGGTTTTCCATACTTGATTGGCGTTTTTTACAGTGAGATTATAACACACATTGGGATTGTGGACAAGCATGGCTTCTCCTTTCTTTTCTTCTTCCGAAGGTGTTTCTGCTTTCTCCTCAGAGATGGACAAATAAGAACAAAGTCGTTGAGTTTCGAGAGGAACAACTGGGGATTTAAGATGCCATTGAGCAGAGGAAGAAATGAAACGAGTTGCAACGGCCTGCCAAATTCTGGCTTGCATTTGAGGTGGCACATCCCCTGTTTGGCCTTCGTTGCTGGATTTCGAGTGTACCGTTTGATCTGTTTGTAATGGTGTGCCATAAAGGTTTTCTCCTTCGCCATTGTACACCTGACCTGTTTGTAACGGCATTATTACCCCACCCGCCATTATTGTCATCTCATGCCTGTTACCACACCTGGCAATTTCATTAGACAAAAATTATATAACCATGCGTAACTAAGTTAAAGTATGACGTGCTTTATAATAAAAGGTGTTAAAATTATATTAAAAAGTTCTGATTTTTGAAAATATTTTAAACCCCCCTTACGGTACTCGTGATGAATTTTTTTTAAAGAAAAAATTACCCATAATTCCTAAACAAGGGGAAAAAATTAGATATTAAAATTTTAAGAAATTTAATATTCTTATGAGTTTGACTTGTAAATATGTAAGTTTGACTTGTAAATATAAAATGTTAAATTTGACCTGTAAATATGCAAGTTTTATCTGTACTGTAAATATGCATGCTAATTTGATTTGTAAATAATAAAATTTTAAGATGTTTTTATATTAATTTTTTTTATTTGGACCAATGAATAATTTTCCTCCTTTTCTTAAATGATGCCTGATGATTAATACAAACAGAAAAATTACCTTTATTGGGTTTTAATTATGTATATTGATTTCTTTTTTTGTGTGATGAAAAATTATCAATGAAGCTGATCAATTTAGTAAATACTAGAAGGATCAGTAGTCAAAAAACAGCTGGACACTACCAGTTTAATAAAATTATATTAAATATTTGTATAAAGTTACATTTATTTTAAATAAATTGTCAAAATAAATTTTCAAAATTAAAATACTGTTTATATTTTAAAATTATACTTAATCTAATAAAAATATTTTGATTTTATAATTTCTATACAGTTAGATAGTGATATAGTATCATCGGTTAATTCAGATTCAAGCATTGATAAATCTAAATGAAACAATTTTCCCCTTATAGTTCTTTCCTGATTCCCGTTTTTTTCTATTTATAATATGTAAAGATGTTGAATCCATATCACCCCATTCAATAAGCTTTGATGTTTTAACTTATTAGTACCTCTGGTACTAATTATAACGTTACAAACAAATTCTTATAATTATGATCGGAGGTAGTATTATAACTCCTAGAAGTTTTATACAATTTTTAAGTCATTTTCTTATTTTTAATTTATCTTCTACTTCTCCTATCCTTGATATAGGATCTAATTGAGGAATTGACATTGGTCCTATATATAAGATTTATTTTATATGTTCATCAATTTTTTCATCAACACTAATTGAGTAGGAGAGGAAGAGAAGAAATTAAGAAAAATGATTAGGATGTTTTAGAATAAACATATCGTATTACTCCTCTAGTCCTAAATATAAGACCCTTTTTTGGGTCTTATATTTAGGACCTGAGGAGTATCTAATTTAACTAACATTCTTAATTTATTTAAAATTAATTAATTAGATCTTACATTAATGACCAGAGGAATATAATTTTTTTTGGCCAAATTTATCTTCTATAATTAATGGATACACCTTGATTAGTGAAAACTTCGATTAAAAAAAAATAATACTATCAACGACATTTTTAGACCTCATAAGAGAGATAATGACAGCTAAAGATTATTTTCCAGCAAGACTTTCATAGTTTTCAACTAAGCTTCTTTCGATGCCAACTAAATTTTGTCATTTTCAGACCAATTATCCTACCCTTTACCGTTATTAGTCTCTTCTTCGAGGCCAGATTGTCATTTTCTCTTGCAAAACATGACATAATTTTCTGAGAGAAATGAACTCAATTAAAAAGTCAACAGTTATATATTGTCTGTTATAAAATTCCAATATTTCATAAAATCAAGGTAAAATCCTGTCTACTTCGCAGCGCTATCATGGAAAAGCTACAACACATGCAACAAAGTTATTAATCCAAGTATCCTACTGATGACTTCATCCCCCCCCCCTCACAGAAATTTCTCCTTCAACTAAAATCTGGAAGGGAGATTTTTTAAGCGCAATAGAGTTTAAAAAACAAAAAAGCAATTCCTAATGTGAATTACACTGCTCACAAAATTCTTGTAATCAGAACTGGTTACAAGTTCACCAAAATACTCAAATCCGCCGTCGCTTCTTCTCCTCGCTGGTTAGTTCGTCAGAAATATTGAATCCATCACCATGAACGTTATTCAGACGTGATTAATAAGCGTATGAGAGCCATCTTCTTTTGTTTCCTGATCATTTGGATGTTTCTGAACAGCATTTCCGGACATAGTTCCATCATATCCATATTGCTGCACAATAAGCACAGAGGATTTAGACCCGAAACTGTTGGATGCCAATATGTCTCCTATAGCCCCAAGCTCAGGGCAATCACACCATTCCATGAGACCTGAGAATAACACAGAGTTTCTCCCTTTGCCTTGTCCCACTATGTACAGATGATAATCATCACCTTGGTCTAACTCATTTAGTAATTCGGGAATATCCTCACCCACATAAACTTCCTTCTCTGAGTAAGTTATGGAGTCTTCATTGTGCATTGCCTTGAGTCTAAATAAGTTCACATACTCATCATCCAGCTCTTTTTGCTTGGAACTATCCAAAGCCATAGACAATATCCCTTTGGCTTTCAACGCAACTTCTTTATCCACCTGATATGAAGCTTCATCAACTAGAAGTATCCTCACTAATGAGAGGTAAACTCCGGGATAAGTTGCCATTCTCCAGGCAATAGCTAAGGCTTCACGGTCATCAGGTCCACCTACGAAAATCATGAGCATACGACAATTCGTTTTGGATAGTGAGAATACGCCTCGATCAATGAAGATACCCACTGAACAAGGTGGTTCTTTCATGACATTGTAGTTTATGTCTTTGTACGCCCTATTCAGCATTTCTAGACTGCCTTCTGTGTTGACCTGCTTGTGGAAAGGGAGGAGGATGAGATTAGTGTGTTTTTCATTTGCTGTGTTGTATATGTCTTCATGAATGGTTTTATAGCTTGATAGAACATTGAATGTTTCAACTCGAACGGCATCATTTGACTCGGCTAATTCTTGGAAGGTGTTGGTAATGCCTTCAAGCTCAGCTTGTGATTGACTATGGTACTGTGCTCCTGTGTGGGAAACATGTTGGCTCATGTGGTCAAGGAGCACGAAAGCGCCACGACTTGTAAGTTCAACAAGGTAAAGTGCACCGACATAGAGAGGGGAAACTCTTGAGGCATGGAAGCATTCAAGGATCTTCACCATGCTACTAGCATGGCGGTTGTTATGCACACAAGCCAAAATTCGAAGTTCTGTATCAAGTCTTGAATTTTGTATGGTTCTCATTTTATTCATCTTAAATTGATGTCTTGGTTTGTAAGCAGTGTTGGTGACAACTGAAGATGCTATAGTCATTATAACAACAGCAGTGACTAGAATTGAATAGGATGAGACCGTCAAAATCTGCAAATAACACACAAACACATTTAAGCTAATTGGTCATAAAATTGAAGCGGTGTTTAATCAAATGTGACACGTCAAATCTCAAAATGATCATGGATACCTGTCTGTCCCAACCAATGTTAAGCATTATCAAAGCCATGACGCCTTTGGTGCTCATCAGCACGCCGAGTCCCAAACCATCTCGAATAGGGATACCATAAGCAAAAGTAGCAACCAAAGTGCTGAGAATCTTTGGGGTGCATAATAACACGACAATCATCACTGAAAAGGCCCAATTTCTGTGAGAGAAGGCCTTTGTCAAGTCCATTCTCATGCCAGAGCCAGCAAAAACCAGAGGTGCTAGAACACCAGAAGCAACATCATCTAATGCGGACATCATCAGACCAGTAAATCTCCCATGAGGCAGAATCAATCCAAACACAAAAGCCCCAACAATGCCAGAGCCAAGGAGGTCTGTAATATATGCACACATCACAGTTCCCATCAGCACAAACAGTAGCTGATGATCATTCCATTCTTCCCGGTCGGTCTTTCGTTCAATAATTGGAGTAATGACAGGACGAACCACAAAAATGCATAAAGTGATGAATGCTATGGTACCCATCACAGTGTAGATTGCTCCAGCTCCTTCGCTAAGGATAAATGGAATCACTAACATAAACAGAAGCCAAGAAAAAGAGTCACTGACTATGGCTGCATCTAAGGCTGATCTTCCTAGCTCGGTATAGAGGAGCTTGAGGCTGGCGAGGATTTCAGTGAGCAAGGGAAAACCCGTGACTGTAAGACATATTGACCATAACAGGCAAGCTTTAAGTGGATCACTTTCAACGGTTTCATCAGTCTGAACGTCGTAAGTGTTTCGATGCAGAGTATATATGATCGCTGCCATTACCATTGGAATGATAACACCAGATATGGCAATGCTAAAGGCCTTCTTTTGTGCTCGTAGGACGTTGTCTAAGTTCATCTGCAGGCCAGTTAAGAAGGCGTAGAAGATTATACCTAAACTGCTCAACACTTCAACATTCAAGATCCCTCGAATGGGAAAAAGAAGGCGAAACATTATCGGTATCTCCCCCAATAAATCTGTGCTGAGCACGAAACCAGCCTGCACGTAGATTTAGATCAATCACTTGCAAGTCAGAATGCAAAAGAATGATATATTCTGTGCCCCCTCATTTTATTTTATGCAATAATTCGACTCCAAGATACCCAAAACCAAAGGGGAACAAAGAGAGATGCATGCAGATACTTACAATAACTTCAGCAATAAGACTGGGGATGTGCAATGGTCTGGCAATGATGACGAAAATGCGAGTGACGAATAAGGTCCAACACGTTTGAAAGGCCAAACTCGGAAGTTCGGATCCATATACATCACTGGCTTTCCATACTTGATTGGGGTTTTTCACAGTGAGATTATAACACGCACTGGGATTCTGCAAAAGCATGGTTGCCCCTTTTTTAATTTTCTGAAGGTGTTTCTACTTTCTTCTGAGAGATCGATGAACAAGAACAAAGCTGTTGGCTTTCGAGAGGAAGGAATGGCGATATATAAAGGCATTGAGCAGAGAGAAAGAAATGAAATGAGTTGGTTGTAACGACAGGCCAAATCTCGGCTTGCATTTGAGGTGGCACATCCCCTGTATGGCCTTCGTTGCTGGATTTCGAGAGTGGACTTTGTAGGAATATATACCGTTTGATCTGTTTGTAAATGGTGCCATGAAGGTTTCTCCTTTGCCATTATACACCTGACCTGTTTGTAGCCTTGCTTGTAACGGTATTCTTAATTTCTTACTTGCCCGCGTTTGTTTTCTGTCACTACACCTGGCCATTTCACAGAACAAAATTTTAAATTTATACACCCGTTCGTTGGCCAAAAAAACAAAAAACCGACAAATTTAGATACCCACGCGAAATTAAAATAATAAAGTGCACCATGTTTATTGAAAATTATAATAGAAAGTATTAAAATTATATTCAAAACCTCTCAATTTAAAATAGTTTGAACACCCCTACTGCCCTTTAAAATCTGAAGAAATTATTATTTATAAATTAAATATATTAATAAAATGTTAAATTTGATCTATAAATATCTTAATTTAATTTGTAAATATAAAATTTTTAAAGGTCTCTCCATATTTAATCTTTTTATTTGGGACCAATGAATAATTTTCCTCTTTTTTTTTTTTCAGATGCACAATAATTGATTGATTTTTATGTGTGATAAAAAATTATGAATGAAGCTGATCAATTCAGTAGATACTGGAAGAATCATTACACAACAAACATGTCGGCACTACAATTTTAAGAAAATTATATTAAATACTTGTGTGGAGTAATATTTATAATCAAATTTCTGAAATTAAAGTATTGTTGATTTTTTCCCAGATAAAAATTTTAAATTCAAGTGATTTCACGCATGCTGGTTTAAAAAAGAAAAAAAAAAAAGAAAGAGAGTAACTTTCTACTCTGAGAAAATATCTCGCATATGTTAGTCTAGAGTTAGTAGCTCCCCCTTATCTGCTTGCCTTCTTCTTGTTCTTCTGTACTCTTTCGTCCAGCTTTAGCTGCAGCATATTCCGTATCACGAACTGTGAAAATCCCTGTCCTGTGTTCATCTGGGTAAAGCGCTGCCACGGTACCGATGGCCATCGCAGCCGGGTGGTATGCCTTCATTTTCTTTCAAGTTTTCTTCCCATTTCAATTCATATATCAGTCATAAACGTGCGGGACTATTCTTAACTAAATTTGAAATTACCCAAATGAAGGCTTCAAGTGATGAGGCCTATTAAAACTCCTACTTTGATGGATTTATATTAGCTAGTAGAAATAATATATATGCAAGAATTACTCAATAGTGATGGTATCCAGTTCTTTCTGACTGATGTGGTTCTTAATCACAGGGCGTGGGCTCTGCAGTGAATAAGCTAAATGATGGGGTTGCCAGGATAGCTGAGGTCAGAGGCATTGCTGATTCACTACAGACACCCTTTCAGAGACAAGCTGCTCCAGAAGAGGAAACTCAAAGAGACTTTAGAACTAGGAGATTTACTATCCATGAATTAAGTTCAAGGTTGTGTCGTTAAAGGACGATACAACATGTGATAATAATGTGAAAACCCTAGAGGCTTCAAAATAACAACACAAATGCTTGTGCATGTAACTCCAAGCATACTAATGCACGCACGCATTAGTACTTCTCTTTTGAATCAGAGGGGCATGCATTAATAGCGAGCACCGAGCAGGACCAGTCCTGTAACCTTTCACCTGTTGGGCATCACTAGTTTATAATGTCATTTTCTATCTTGAAGCTACCAATTTGTCTAGAAGATAGGTTTCACAATCATAAACATATCTGCCTTCAAATTGATGCCTCCTTTAATGGAATTGAGAAGAACAATTATTTTATTTTATTTTTCTAAAAAAATGGAATATATACATGGTACTATTTGTTTATGATTTTATTATTGTACAACACAAGAGTAATTATAAATAGCGAGAAACTTTGTAATGTGAATGATCATAAATAGCTCCAAAGTACAGGATGGGGCTATCTGAGAATGAAAATGGTGAGGCAACAAGAGATTCAAATTCAATGATAGTTCATTTGGTTCATATCTTTAACAAGTTCTTGGCGTCTCATGATTCTCATTTAAAGGATAAATTTGTGTGATCTCATTTATTTGCGCTTAGTTAAATCACCCAGTTCCGGAACTTTGTTCCGATTACATCTGGATCCGACCCGCGTCATGCACCTGGCTGTAGTGGGTGAGTTTCCCAATGGGGATTTGTGCATATGCTGAGGCTGGAACTCGAGACCTCGTTTAAGCGATACCAAGCCGCTTATCACTTAGACCAATCCCTGTTGGTGACAATCACATATTTTTATTAACCAGCAAGCCCTTAAAAGTTAAAATAAAGACCTGTGACCCAAAAAAAAAAAAAAAAAAGCAGACCACAGTTCTTTTTTATTTTCAATTAAAAAAAAGGAAGAAGCTCCGAAATATGAGACTTTGAGTAACAACATTTTAAGTTATCAACCCGTGATATGCTTTTTTTTAATCCAATTTCGTAAATTAAAGGGGAAATCAAAAGAAAATGTTCGGTTACAAATATTTATAAATAAAGTTTGCCCAACCAAATGGAACCAGATTTTACGGTCAACAAGATCGGTGTGGGTAGATTAGTTTGGTTCTACTTCTTTTTTTTAAAAAACAAAAAAAAAAAGAGAGAGAGAGAGAAGAAAAATTATGTTTAACTTCTAAAATTAAGCATTTAGCCAGTAATCACCAAATCTTAACACAGCATAAAAGCGCACAATGAACTTGACACGCTTTCAGTGAAAGAGTGACAAATATATAATTATATGTGAAGTGAACTTAGAAGCACAATTACTGTTGTTACTCTATTTTTTCCGTGAAAATTAGCTCCAAATTTCATGCTGTATCTGCATATATGTGATGCCTCCTTAAAAGGTCACATCTATCTTAGGAACCAAACTCACTTGTTTTCAGCGAGCTTATTTATTGATCCTAAAACTTTTAAAATGTTAGAGAGTCACCACGAATGCCATGCTATAATTTGATTTGATAATATTATATTGTCTGTGGTACTTAATATAATATAACACATCAATTCACTTTACCTTTTATTTTTTCTCAAAATATCACTGTCAGTTATAAAAGGTCCCATTAAGAGATAATTCTGATCATTTAATGTACATGATTAAAGAGGTTAGTTTATAAAGACCAACACATATTTGTGATAAATAACCAACTTAATTAATTTTTTAGATATCTTTAAATTAGTTTTATAACTCTTATACTACTTTCGGTCCTTAATAAGACCCTGTTTGACTTTTATTTTGATCCTAAATATAAGACCTCAATCCATTTTGTTTCTCATATTTATGCATTTTTTTTCAAGGTAGTCCTTCTAATAATTATAATTCTAGCCAATATAGTTGATTAGTAAGGATATTTTAGGAAAGATAACACGTATTTATTACAAATAACTAACTTACCTTTTTTCCTTAATCTCTTCTGCTTAGTCAACTGAGTCTTATAATTAGGATCGAAGGTATTATTAAGAACTAGATGTAGTATAATAGCATAAAATGTAATTGCTTCCACAAGATTTTTTAAATTGTAAATAAATTTAACTAACTAATTATATATTGAATTATATATTAAAAATATATGCCAGAAAAGGCGCGGTAAAACCATAAATGTATTAATTTTGTAGAAAAAGCAAACACTCATAAAAACAAAAAAATACGATGCAATTATTCGTTTATTACCAAACCAGAGCGCGCATCCTGCCCGCATTCAAATGGTCAACACATGTACGGAATTGGGTGAAGCCCTTCAAACGAAATCTGCTATTGTTGATTAGTTGTTGAGTTCTCGACTTGCATCGTAATCGTCGCCTGCTATTTGATAATGCCACTGGATGCGAAGAGTTCGAAGGCCTGATTACTTGTCGTCGCACGAACACATAGCTGAGGATTCAGCTCTTAAATACCACAACAACTCCCGGAGTAGCCCAACTACGTCTGAATTCCTCCCCTCCACTTTTCCGTCGTTGTCATCGTTGCGCCTTTCACTAGCCGCCGCCCCCGCCGCACCATGCTGGCACTTCAATCTCCAACTGTTCGAGCGTCTCCATTTGACCCGCTTCGCAAATCTCTCAATGCGCCCAAAAGATCCAAGAAGAAAGTTCATTTCATTTCTGCCACTGTGTCCCCCAAAGTTTCTGCTCCCAAGAGAGAGAAGGACCCAAAGAAGCGGGTGGTGATAACGGGAATGGGACTTGCCTCTGTGTTCGGCAACGACGTCGATACATTCTATGAGAAGCTTCTTGCGGGTGAAAGCGGAATCGGTCCCATTGATCGATTTGATGCCTCCAAGTTTCCCACGAGGTTCGGCGGGCAGATCCGAGGGTTCACCTCCGAAGGTTACATTGATGGCAAGAACGATAGGCGGCTCGATGGTTGCCTTCGGTACTGCATTGTTGCTGGCAAGAAGGCCCTCGAGCATGCTGACCTTGGCGCTGATAAGCGTTCAAAGGTTTGTATTTTGTGTAGGTTTAAAATGCTTCTATCGTCACTTGGTTGGCCTTGAAGTAGAAATATAGTGATTTTCTGGCTTAATGCTCTTTGTCGACGTACTTGCCATTACTAGCATGTGATTCACGTAAGATTAATAATCCCTGCATCTTAGTAATAATGAAATTATTATTATCGTCTTTTAACTGTTCTTCTGGTTTACTATGATTACATTTTGGAACATGTAATAAGGAAATTATTATTATCATCTGTAACTTAACTTTATTCTGAAAAGGATTTATATGCATAGGCAGATGCAGGGGTCAATTCGCATTCAGAAAGGCGTCTGAATATTTAAGCATTAACATGATTTAGGGAATCGGGATTAGCGCAAATTATTGTAAGAGCTTTGTACTATGTCAGTTTGGTGGTTTTGCAAAGCAAGACCTGTCGACGACAAGTTTCTTGATTAATCTCAGTTTGAAGCTAGTTTGATTCAAAGAACAGTTGAAGACTCGAGGTTAGCGCAGATTGTTGATACAAGAGACTCCATGTAAACTGTCTGCAGAATACAAGTATTCTGTTGTGTCTTTTATCATTAACGTTGCTTAAATCACTTAACCATATTATGACATTGAGAGGCACACCATTTTGAATCATAAAACAGCGTGTTCATACAATGTTCTGTAACTCTAAAATGTGTTAAAAATATAAATTTTACTTCATTTGGAATCAAGCCTTAAAAGTGACCCTTTTTTCTGGTTTGATCAAAGTTCTGTTCTATATGTTATCCAAGAAACCTTCAAGCCGTTGAATTCCTTTTCCTTTTCAGATTGATAAGGAACGCGCCGGTGTGCTAGTTGGGTCAGGAATGGGTGGTCTTACTGTCTTTTCTGATGGTGTCCAGGCTCTAATAGAGAAGGGATACCGCAAGATAACACCTTTTTTCATTCCTTATGCCATAACTAATATGGCTTCGGCATTGCTTGGAATTGATCTTGGTTTTATGGGTCCAAATTATTCTATTTCAACTGCATGCGCTACCTCCAACTATTGTTTTTATGCTGCTGCGAATCATATACGGAGGGGAGAGGCTGATCTAATGATAGCAGGTGGGACTGAAGCTGCCATCATTCCCATAGGGTTAGGGGGTTTTGTTGCATGCAGGGCCTTATCTCAGAGAAATGATGACCCAAAAACTGCTTCAAGACCCTGGGACAAGGACCGAGATGGCTTTGTTATGGGTGAAGGTGCTGGAGTACTGGTAAGGCAGCATTTATTCCTCTATGATCTTCGGTAAAAAAGAACATAATCTTCATTTTTTTTTTCCCATGTCCTTTATATTATTTACAGAGTACTTTGAATTTCTGCCATATTGAGAGTGACCAGAAAAAAAAAAAACCCATAGCATAGCTAAATAAAAATTTTGCTGTAGATTTTAATTTTCATCAGATATGATAAAATTGCAAGCTCTACTATATTTCTACTTATGCCTAATCCAAAACATAACGACTCTTGGAGTTTCAAGGGACTAAGTATTGGTGGTGAACTGCCAAGACGGTAAAAGTAGTTCTCCTTAAAGATACTTTTCCTCTTCCCACTAAAAGACTGAACTCTTCTTAAAATGCCCAAAAGATTGGTTATCTTGTACGGTTATTTACTACAGGCTAGTACCTGAAGCTTGAGATTTCTGTATTCACAGGTAATGGAGAGTCTGGAACATGCTATGAAGCGAGGAGCACCCATTATTGCTGAGTACCTGGGAGGTGCTGTTAACTGTGATGCTCATCATATGACTGATCCTCGAGCAGATGGACTTGGAGTCTCTTCATGCATTAAAAGCAGCCTTGAAGATGCTGGCGTGTCACCTGAGGAGGTACTAGCTACTTTTCTTACTAATGTTTTCTAATTTATCAAATACCAATGGTTTCCTGCGGAGGTGTCTTCATTACTTAATTGTCTTTTTGGTTCCTCTTGTTATAAAATTGTTTGATTGATTGATAATTGATGACTGAAGTTGGATAACGTTGCATAACGTGTAAGGCCATGTGAAGCAATGGTGGTTGGGGTGGGGGGTTCGACAATGTTGCATAACTTGTAGGTCCAATTCTCATTTCCTCCCATTCTCTCTTAATTTGAATTAAGTTTCAGCGTGAAAGATCATAAGCTTGTACTTTGTTCACACTTCAAATTCAAAGAGCTTTTAGGTGAAGGGACGTATGAGAGGTTATAATACAAACTATAGACGTTTTTGTTTAATAGCTTGAAGTTGTCATAATAACATGAATTAGGACTCATTTTCTTCAGCATAACGATTTCAATACTTGTGTTACATTAATTGATTTCTTAAGCGCAATAAGATGCTCATATATCCACATTCTTTCTATACCCATCAGTCACTCCAAGCTAGTAATAGTTATGTCTGATAAATACCTATATACTTTATTCTTCGTTTACAGCTTCTGCAAATTAGGCTATTACTCGATGATATGTATCTATGACATTTTTTCAGGTCAATTACATAAATGCACATGCAACATCCACTCTTGCTGGTGACCTGGCGGAGATCAATGCTATTAAAAAGGTTTTCAAAAATACTTCAGAGATCAAAATTAATGCCACCAAGGTATTATCCTACTCTTGAAATCATATTTGGTGACGAATTCATTCATTGTATTTGTGTTTTGTATAACTGGTTATATTTGACTTGTTCCCTGGTCACGCACTGATTGATATGATATGGTCTTTCATTTTGTACCAGTCTATGATAGGGCACTGCCTTGGTGCAGCTGGGGGTTTGGAAGCCATTGCCACAGTGAAAGCCATAACAACAGGATGGCTACATCCTTCAATCAATCAATTTGTACGTTCATCTTAGTCAATGCTGTTGTTTAGGAACTTTAGGAATGCTTCCATTACTGTTAGATAAATCATTGTGTCAAATTTTCTGTTTGAATGGGATCTAATTCTGGGTAAAGAATGCTGAAGCAGAATATTTGCTCCTGAGTTTGTTTGACATAATGGTGCCGGGTATAATCAGTAGTCTGCATTCTTCATTATTATAATAATTTTATTGGGGTTTATGCGCTTCTCTGGCAATAAAGTTTTGAATATCAAGTTGGTATTGATATTAAGATTCTCATTACTATGCTAAGATGTCAAACCACGTTATTTTCCTTTACTGGGCAATTGGAGAGGACAGAAGGAATGTTTAGGGTATGACAAAGAGTTATCTCTTTCAAAATCATATGGTTACCTTATAGATAGTTATGAGATTCGACATTTGCCTATTAAACCTGTCGTATTTTCACTAACCAGGCAGAACCATTGTGTTCCATTTTCGCGCTGCAAATGTTTTAAAGTCAATGTCTAGTTATGTCCTTATTCTTGAGTGCAGAATCCAGAACCGGAGGTTGATTTTGATACGGTTGCGAATGTAAAGCAGCAGCATGAAGTTAATGTTGGTAAGATTCTAATTATGAAACTCCTCAGGCATTTCCATTGTTCAGTGATAGATATCAGAATTTGGAGATATAATTGGTGATCTCATCTGTTTCAGGGATTTCTAATTCATTTGGATTTGGTGGACACAACTCCGTGGTAGCCTTTTCTGCATTCAGGCCCTGAGCATCCAGTTTGTGTGCAGCTGTTGTAGAAGCAGGGTCTTAATTGGGATTTTCTTTATTCTCCACTGAGGCTTCCTTAACTTGATTTGGACTCAATTTTCGAAAGCCGCAGCTGAGTTTTCAAATAGCTTATTTGAAATTTAGATTCAAGATCGTTTTGTTGAACCCATTAAGTTCAGTGCTTGGCCTAATTGGTCCTTGTGTTAATTGAATTTCAATCACATACCAGATGAAGAAAACAGCTCGAACTTATTCTCTTATTCGTTTTCCTCCTGCGTGCTTTTTTGTTTTTTTCAAAGTTCTTCCCTTCTTGTGTCCACTGTCAAGATGTGTATACGGTTGAGCTATGACGAGTCTCTTGTAGTGAAATATATTAGTTTAATTGTTGTTATTATGGTCGTCGTCGTCATTTAACTGTAAAAAACTTGAATGGAGCTCGTGAATGAAGTCCAGTTTGGAGTTCTTTCCGGGTGTGTCCGCATGTGACGACTTCTAATATCCCGAATTTGACAGTTCTGGTCGGCATAACGGCAAAATATATGACGTTTCGATTTGGTATACACTTGTAGGTGTGTCTTTTTTTCTTTTTTCTTTTTTTCCTGTTTCGAGAGGATGAAAAGTAAGGACTTTTATAAGAAGTTTAAAGATAATATAGAAAAATGAGTATTGAATTTGGGAACTCAGATATTGATTTAATATCAATACTTTTATGAGTTCTTTAATTGTCACTGTCCGTCTTTTTTGTCCAAATTAAATTTAAATAATTTTTATTTTTATTTTAATCCACAAAACCTCGACATATGCACCAAATATATTGTTAAAAGCAAAGTTATGCTTGCATGAACAAATTAATCTTTCCGGGGGAAATTAATCTTCACAAGGGTATCAATCCCAAAATAAAATACGGAATGAAGAAAGCTAAAATGGACTAATGAAAGACTAGCTTTCTTCCTCGAGGCGCTGAAGTTAGCACTTCGCAACAAAACAAAAGGCGGGCCGAGGCTGAGCCGTTAACTCGTTAGCTACGTGGCAGTGTGCGCGGTTCGTGGCTGGGAATCGTCGACAGTGGCATGGCTGCTTCACCTCTTATCTTCAGGAATTTTCCTCACGCCACTCTGCACTCCCATCTTCATCGTCATTACCCTCTAAACGCTTACTTCGCTTCCCGCTCTACCTTCAAATCTCTTGCTCTTCTTAATTCTGCTGAGGTATCCAACATGTACTTACTCTACGATAAATTGAGGCCATTATTATTTATTTCCTAGTAAGCATGATGAATGCGTCTTAAACCGTCGTTGTAACGTCCGATTTTATTTATTTATTTATTTTTGGTTATTTGGGCGTCAGATGGAAGGAGGTGAAATATCTGAGGAAGTATCAAATAAAGATGGCGAGGATTTGAGTATGAAGAAGAAAATTTTTGTTGCTGGAGCCACTGGAAGTACTGGTAAAAGGATTGTTGAGCAGTTGCTGGCAAAGGGTTTCACCGTCAAGGCTGGAGTTAGAGATTTGGATAAGGCCAAGACTACTTTTTCCCAAAGCAACAATCCGGCTCTACAAATTGTGAGTAGTTCCCATTTCCAATGAAGTCCCAATCAAATATTCGGTAGAATTTTATCGATTCTGGATGTTTACTACGGTTTGATTGCGATTATTTCAGGTGAAAGCAGATGTCACGGAGGGTTCAGACAAGCTAGCTGCAGCTATAGGTGATGATTCAGAAGCTGTAATATGCGCCACTGGCTTTCGGCCTGGGTGGGATTTGTTCGCTCCATGGAAGGTCTGTCAATTTTGTCTCAAGAGAATTGGGGTTTTAGTTGTATGATTCATGTTATGATACTTCACTCATTTGGTCATGTCAACTGAAGGCTGGCAAGGGTTGATGGCAAGGCATTGAGTAATGGCCATGATTCCGCTAACAACGAGGAAATGGTTACGTGAATTTAGTCTAATAATTGAGCACAACGTGGATGCAGTATTGGTTTTTGACTTAATTAGTCGGAACATCTTGTATAATCTTCTCGAGTGCTTCAGTAATTAAGCTATTGATCCTCTCTTAACCTTTATATTGCCATGTGAAAATAATATGGCTAGGATTTTAATATCTTCCATGTCGATGTCGTGGGTGTTGATTCTTTGCCAGGCTTTCACTCTTGATTTAGTGACTGGCATCAAATTACATATTAGTAGGACCTGACCTGAAGATGTAAATACAGAGCCATTAGGGGTCCGTTTGTTCGAAAGTTTGCAAATTGTATGAATAGTCGTGTGCGTTGATTTTCAGACAATTTAAGCATTCGCAGACTGTTTTCATGGCATATAGTTGTACCATATGCTTCCTTAATTCTGAATGTCTGCATCATAAGATCGTTTTGTCAAGGTATAGTACTTTAATTGTGCTTTCTAATGGGTTAAGGTAAAATGTGTGATTATGAGTGTAGTGTATGGAATTTTCCATGGTGACATTAGCAGTCTTGTCCCTGCTTTGTGTTATTTCAAAAGCAATGTTAGACACTGTTTTTTTATTATTGACACAGTCCAATCCTTTAAAAAAGATGGCTGTCTTCATATGCAGGTTGACAATTTTGGCACGGTAAACCTGGTTGAAGCATGCCGTAGAGCTAATGTGAACAGATTCATTCTTATCAGTTCCATTTTAGTTAATGGAGCTGCAATGGGACAGCTATTCAATCCAGCTTACATCTTTCTTAATGTTTTTGGACTCACTTTAGTGGCCAAACTACAAGCAGAGCAATATATCAGGAAATCTGGTATAGATTACACAATAATAAGGCCTGGCGGATTGAGGAACGAACCTCCTTCTGGAAATGTTGTTATGGAACCTGAGGTATAGCCTCTAAATTACCTTTGATAGTTTCACGTTTATATTTTTGTAGTGATGCTTTTCTGACACTCGACGTTCTGGCTTTATTAGGATACCCTTTATTGAGGTACCATATCCAGAGATCAAGTTGCAGAAGTAGCTGTGGAGGCCTTGGCCTGTCCTGAGTCATCTTATAAAGTAGTGGAGATAATATCCCAGCCTGATGCTCCTAAACGTTCATACCAGGATCTTTTTGGTTCCATAAGGCAGCGTTGATTTCTTAGTTCAGGACTTCGTTATGAGTCGCTAAGTGCTTTCCCTGATTTTTTCACGGCTGGGTGGCAAATATGTACCTATGATATCATAATCATCTGTGCTGCTTCAGTATACTGTATGGTACTGTTAGACATGTAAAACTAAAAAATCAATACATATCTTTGAACCTTTTTCTTTTCATTTGTCCCCCAAGACTATTCTTTCTATTCCTTTTAACTTTTAAATATAAGTAGGCAGAAATCCGACATGGAAAGACACAGAACACGCACGTGAAGATTTATCCTCTCTTCTGTTGTGTCCAGAACTTAAAATATGATAATGTTCAGTGGGTATTAATCCTCCTCTTTTGCTAAGGAAGTATTATTTAATATTTATTACTGGAGCAGAATGTATTATTCATCTGTCTTTTGCACCTTGAGGACATCTTGCACGGTTTTTGTCTGTGTTTCATGTTCATAATATTCGCTATATTATAGGGGGAAGAAACATTACATATATGGTTGAAAATGTTCGGAAAAATCACTCACATATCAAATTACATTAAGCATCCGAATTTTCTGTCTCCCACCTCTCTATGCATAAACAGCATCGAATGAAATTAGAGACTCAGAAAACCATCTGGTGATCTTTCTCATCTGTCAGAAAACAGATCATCAAGCTTACAGGAGCCAAACCAGAAAAACCAAGGCTGCAAGAACAGCTGGAGCACCCAGAGGCACTGCTTGGCTCTCCATTGGCGTGGGTGGAATAGCTGCAACATCTTCCTCCACGTTCATGGCCAGGCCAATGTGAGCAGAAACCAGCAGAGCCATGAAGCAGAAAGTGAAAGCCATGGCCATCCCGCAGCTTCCCATGATCACAGCTCTGATCTTGCCCTGCCTGCTCAATAACAAAAGGCAAAGTTGGCTTCACTTGTCTGTAAGTAGTTGATGTGGAAATGAGAGTGGAGCTGCTTTTTATAAGGAGAGATTATGATGAAGCGTGAGGCATATTCATCTATAAAATGGAAGCTTTAACAGCAAACATAATGATTTGAGAGTGTTGAGGAGGATAATAATGTTATGTCTGCCTTATTTTAAAAGCTCATTTGCGTTGCTGGAGCTGAACTGTATAATGGCACTCGATGCCTTCTTATTTTTTGCATTCTTAATGAGAATCCCTTTGAGTGCGAGTGAAGCACGAAGCAAACCATTTATTTATACATAATGAAATTGCCAATTGCCAAGTGTCCCTTTTTTGTTCTTCATCTAAGGAATAAAATGATGTCTGTAATAATGTTACTTTTCTTCATTAATGTTGATTAATATGATACTAATTAATTAATTCACTATTACCTGTAAAATTGTTGGGCAAAATTATACAATTATCCTTTTCGAAATATACACAAACTCACTTGATGTATTATTTTTTTTGGACTAGTTTTGGATGAAATTTTGAATTACAAGCACTATGGTATAAATTGTGAAACGGGTAGAAATTTGTCATGCATTATTGTTTTTGATTATTTGTAAAATTTAAAACTAGAAATATTGAAACAGCTCATGCATAAAAAGCTTTAAAGCATGGAGATATGATTCCTTGGTGATTCTTTTCAAGCAAAGGGAACCGTGTCAGGTAATGTAGGCCGCTTTTGCTGGGAAAACAAAAAACGAAAGAAAATGCTAACCCAAAGACAATCAGTGGGGGGCTGCTTCATTCTACCTTTTATGATATTGCCACTGAACCCATCTTATCAAAATCTGTTTCAAAATTTTGTTTAGCACCTATTTGTTGGACGCATACTTTCACTCGTACGACACAAACACTCCCCCTACTTACTTCACATATTTACCTTATTGTTCATTTCCCATTATTAATTTATCTTTTTTTAAATCATTAATTTAATTTTTTAAAACTCAGATGTTTTTAAAGGGATTCTAAATTTTGGGCAGGTGCACAAGAGGTCTGTTCTAGGGCGGCCACAACTCCACCAACAAACCACCCCAAAAAAAAAAAGTTACAGAACCTTTTTTGTGTATGTTTGGACAAAACGAATGTTAATTTTTGGGTTTGGCCCTCCAACTTTTCTCATAGAAGAATGAAATATTGGCCCTTACTTGCCTAACTAGATACTACTTCTCAAAAGTGGCACCGAAAGCCCATTAGCCCCCAACAAAACTTTGGATCACAGCCCACAATAAACGCTTTTTGGGCAACTTGCCCAAATCATTTTAAAAAAAAAAAAGGCATTTTGCGTTGGCGGTAGGCAACCACAAGAAACTGGACCAGCTATTGAAACGGTTGGATAACTTGTTTAAGTTGCATCGGTAATTGAATCAGTTCTAATTAAATATTCATATAATTTTCCTGGTTATCTCTGATAAAAAAATTACATAATTGAAAGACTGAATTTAATTTTAAAATTAACCCCAAAAAAAATTAAGACAAGTGGAAGCGTTGTAAAACTTGGTGGCAGAGCGGCAGGTTTCAATGTTTGCATTGAACGATGGAACTTGTCAGATTAAAATAAAGAAAAAAGGAATCTGAACTTTTCAAAACATTGAGAAAGGGGAAAGCTTGTTTGCCTCACAAGCTCCAGCTCCAGCGAGCAGACATTGCCTCATCCTGTTTATCACCACTGGTACTTCCGAGCCCAAATATCCTATTTTCTCCCTCTTATCTCATTTAAAACTTGTTTAAAATAACTTATAAAATAAATACGCAAGAAGTACTTTATCCCTTTTTCCGTGAATGCATCTCTTTTTACGTGAATGTACTTACTGATAGTAAATCAAAGCAAGTCTTATTGAATTTATTTACTTATTATTAACCTTTTTTTTTTTGCTGCTACTACAGAGGGGGAAAAAACGGTTTTATGTTCGTAGGTGAAATGAGTCCCTCAAATCATAGACTTCCTACCAATCAGAAATAGTAGCAACGAATTAAATCTCGTTATTTTCCATGCGCCTATAGTATCAATTAAAACAAATTAAAACAAATAGCTTTGCTTCTTTTTTTTTTCAAAAATATGATAAATACATATCATTATGGTTGGTGGGGACTTTCTCACTCTTTCTTAAACAATATTTCTTTAACTCTTTCTTAACATGTCATTACGAGTTTGGCCCCTCTGCAGTACCAATGGGTACAATAATTCCATCTTCTAAATTGTAGTTAAAAGAAGGGTGAAACTACGTATTTGCTTTCATATAAAAACAAAGACCACGTATTATTTGTGAAAATTTCCTTTAAGAACAGTTAGGTACCCGAAATTTTTTTAAAAAAAATTAAAATCATAATAATATTGTGCTGTTAAAAAATAACATTAAACATTGAAATAATAATAATCACTGTTAAGAATTAATATTGTTATAATTTTAAATTTTTATAATAAATTTGTCTCAAACAAAACTTTCATGTGCATGATGCTTATCCTTTAAAAAATTATATACTCCTATAGTCCTTAATATAAAACTTATTTAATTAATTTGATTATATTAAAGAAGTTAGATAAGTTAGTTAATTATAAGAAAAATGACACATTTTTCCTAAAATAACATAATCATCTTTCTTAATACCCTATCTTTTTTTTATTTGATTATGATCGAGGAAATATCCATAAAAGTAATTTAAAAAAATTAATAAATATAAAAAATAAATCTTATATTTAAAATTAAAATTAATTTAATAATTAAGTCTTATATTAATAACGGAAAGAGCAAGCAAGAGCATTCTTCGAGATCTTCAAAAATTCATGTTAATTAACACGCACATTTATGGAGGCAAAAAGAAACAGACGACACGTTAAAGCATCTCCGGACCAGTGCGTACGGTCTATAAAACCGCGCTCACACTTTCACCGGAAGTCACATTCACATTTCCCAATTTCTGAAACTGAAGCCTGAGATGGAGATTCAGAAAGCAGGAAGAAGCCAGCAGAAGCCAAAGCTGCGAGAGATCGAAGTGATGATAATCTCTGCCAACAACCTCAAGAACGTGAAGCACCTGCACAGGATGAAGCCCTACGCCGAGGTCTACGTGGACAAGGACGTCCATCTCGCCAGAACCCACGTCGACGAGCACGGCGGCACCGACCCCACCTGGAATGAGGTGGTCAAGGTTAACTTCCCCGTGGGGCTGCCGGAGAGCGACATCAAGGCTGCGCTCAATGTCGACATCTACGCGCAGGGGCATCTGAGGGACAAGCTCGTCGGCAGCGCCAGGTTGCTGCTCTGCGATGCGCTCAAGAACGGAGACGCGTCGGAGCCGGTGGATAACCCGATCGAGTGCACGACAATTCGGGTGTGGAGGGAGTCCGGTAGGGCGCAGGGGCTGCTGCACCTGTGGGTGCCGCCGACGGGGAGGTTTATGATGAGAAGGGAGTCGCTGTCTTTCAGCGTCAGGGAGGAGACGCTGGAGAAAGAAACGGCGGAGAAGGCGGAGGCGACGTCGTCGGATGAGAGTGATAATTAACATTTTAAAAGTGTGTATTGACTCGTTAATGAAGCCGGTGTTGGCATGTTAGAAATCGGAGTTAATGTGTGCGTTAGATCTAATTTAATTTAGCGAAACTCGTTTATGAAGCGGGGGCGGCCAAACAAAACAACAGTTTTAGCGAGTGAGCAAACACTGCCTTCCAGTGCCACGTAATACGGCCATGCACAACCCATTTGTTACTTGTTAGCTAGTGTTTGGTTTGAACAAGGCGAGGAGCGGGCGGGGTGGGGCTGTACGGGGATAAATCTGGCTTCAAGGGCGCATATTAAAAATGGGTCAAGGTGCATCCACTGCTTCTTTAAAGTATTTTTTGAATCAAAGTATTCAACACTTTAAAATATGTTTTAAATATTTTAAAATATTTTTTGTTTTAATATTGACTACACAAAAAGATATTTTTAACTGCTAAGTGCACCTAAAAAAGCTTTTAAGATATTAAATGTAACAAAAAAAATATTTTACAGTACCTGCAAAGATGCTTTAATGCTGACTTTAAATTGCTGAAGGCATCTTAACTCGTTAAAAATTTCAACTTTAATAATAATAAAGTATTTTTATTATGGGCCCAGTTCTGACCATTTAGAATATTATAATCTTATCATCTATCATCATTTGTCGCCTGAGGATAAAAGCACAAGACGTGTTTTCACCCAACACCGTAAAAGTCTCCTCAGAAGAGTGACCAAAGAGATATACCTCAAAGG